GGGGGGGGTGGTCTGTCTTTCCCCATCGCCTGTCATGTGCAATCTTGCGTTGAAAACCCGTAAAAAATTGAGACTATGAAAGTTGAACCGCGAAGTATCAAGGGACTACTGTGTATATATTTTTTAAAAATCATGGACAAGTTGTTCCAGGTTAAAATCCCTTATGATTAAAAAAAAAATACACTATAAATATGAGCCACACTAATAATCATTGGTTTAGTTTGGATTTAAAAAGAGTCTCTTTTCATTAAGTATCTGGGTCATTGTGTCTGGCTCTCCTCCACCTGCCACTTGGAGAGGAAGCCTTCTTGTAAATGACTTGTTGGCATGTTTATTGTGTGCCGTTTCCTTTTCTGGTTTGTTGACAGGATGTTTTCAGGTGTTATGGCTCTGATCTCTGCTCACACTTAATTTTCACCGGCCAGGTGTCACACTGACTGACTGACTGGCTTTGAAACGAATGCCACTTCTCTCCAACTTACCCATTATGTTTCAGTTTAGCCCTTGTGTTCAGTTAAGAGTCAAATGGTTGAGCTAAACAAACAAAAACAAAAAAACGCAACCAATTTTCAAAAATATTCTGAAAAACGATTTATTTATTGATTTCTCACTGATTTTTACCAGGACTTCATCCAGGAGCACTACAATGAAGATGGTAGAAGTTTTGAGGAGGAGATAGCAGACCTGATGGATGTGCGGCAGGTAGTGTGTTTGAATGTTTTTATTTAACGCCCACCTCTAAAGATTGTCTGATCCACCACACACAAACTCTGCCCTGAGAACTGATGGCTCATGTTGCTATAATTATTTCAGCTCCATGCCCTGTGGTTACAGCCAGTGTCACTTTGACTAGTAGAGTTACTGAGATGTACACTGTGGGATTTCTGTCCTCACCCCACAACGATTGAAACAAAACATTTGTATTTTATTTTTAAGTGGCACATGAAACACTGAAGGTTTTCCAGACCGTTTCTCTGATTGATTGCTTTGGTTATACACATGTGAAATAGAAGCTGATATTTGAAAACTGAAGCCATGGAATTATTGTTTACCACTTTTTATAAATACTGTACAATAAAGGAGTTGGGTCATTTTCTTTTGTAAATGAATTTAACACCATCTACATCTACACCACTCACTTGTGATCTTTTTTTGTGTGTGTTTGTGTCAGGCATGCAGAACACCATCACGCACAGAGGCCGGAGTGGAGCTGCTCGCAAAATACTACAACCATCTTCCCCTCATAGAAAACCGATTCTTCTCCCCGACCCGCCAGACAGGCATCTTCTTCACCTGGTATACATCACTAATTACAGGCTATTTTTAAGACACAACTGTTGTAAAACTATAAAATGCTTGCTTTCCTGCAGCCTTTTTCCATTTATAAATATAAAACAATTTTAATTTAAGTGATAAACAGAAGAACAATGGTCTGCATAAAGGATGCATAGATTACTTATCAGCACTGTACATGAACAATGTTCCAATCTGTTTGTTAAATACACACAAAGTTCATTTATTCAAGTTTTTCTTTCTCTGATTAGTTCAAAATCTACCTGGGTTTTATTAAATTTGTAAATGCGCAGCTAAATTAATACATACCGGTATTTTGTTTTTTTGTAAGCCACGTCGAGTTTGTATTTATACATAGCTTGCAGTAAATGGTGACAGCGCCAGTCTCTGTTGCAGGTACGATTCCTTCACTGGGATGCCGGTGTGCCAGCAGAACCTGTCTCTAGAAAAGGCCAGCATCCTCTTCAACATGGCCGCCCTTTACTCCCAGATTGGTGCTCGCAGTGACCGACAGACAACAGAGGGCTTGGAGGAGGCCATCTCTGCCTTTCAGAAAGCTGCAGGTATGCAGAAAGTTTTTATTATTTCTTAATTAAAAATGCTAATTTCTTAGGTCAGTCCATTCAAATCAAAACAAATGGTTCAGTAACGGTAATGACATTTGAAATGCTTACAGTCAAATTAAAAACTTTGCCCAATAGTTTAAAATATTGTTCTTTACCACTGTGATGACACAATGGAACTGGTTCAGAACATGGCGTCAGGGCAAACAGTTTTATTTTCAGTTTGAGTCCTCTCCACCCTCTGACCTCTGATAAATGAAGCAGAAGGCGTTTCTTCGGCTTTCGTGTCATGTGAGCTTCAGGAAGTTCAGACAGACCTTGACAGAATGATGACAAGGCAGTCCGCTCCGTGTTGCTCTATAATTACTGCTCTGAACAGAGCTTTAGTTATGCTACTTTGATGGCTGTTGTCCTGTTCTAGGGGACCATTGTCCCAGCTGTAAACCACGTTTGGAGCTAATAGGAAGAGATACTGTATTTACATTTAAGTTGTTTTAGTGCTCCCATGAGGTTTAGATGAAGAAGCCGGTGAAGAGTGGTGGAGTATTAATGACAAACGAGTGATGTGATGCTCTGTTAAGTTGTCCACAACTTTCTGTTGCCAACTTTTCACCTGAAGACTAAAAGAACAATGTTCTTGGCCAGGATGCAGATTGATGTACTGCTTCCATAAGACATGAATACTAATTGTGTGAATGTTCATGAAGCATTCACACGGTTGTGGTCCATTTTTCTTCCATACGTTTTTTGGCACAATTCTCGTCCTTCAGTTTTCAAGCTATTCCAACAAATCTTATATCAAAACATTCAGCTCTTCCAGGACAATCCCACTGTGACTTTTGGTATTTGTGCAACTTTAGCTTTTTGAAATATTTAACCTTTTCTGCCTTGTTTTTCCTCATAGAAAATGAATTGAGCTCATTTTACATCCTTCAAATCTTTAGATATGTTTACAATCTTTTACTGCTCCTTTCACATTTTGTTCTGGTTCAGCTTCTTTCAGCTGCCTTTCAGCAGTTTTTCTGCTGTTTTGTGATCATTTTACGTTCTTTCTGCTAACTACAACATATTTGTGCTTCTAACTTCTTTCTGCTAATTTCAGCTTGTTATGCTCCTTTCAGCTTATTTCTGCAAGTTTCAGCTTTTTGTAGCTTTTCAGCTACTATTTAGCTGTTTTATGCTTATTTTAGCCTTTTCAGCTAATTCCACATTTTTTGCACAAATCTCAACGTTTTCCAGCCTAATTCATCAAAAATGTGCGCTCTCCACTTCCTTCTGGTAATTTGTGCTTCTCTATGCTTTGTAGCTACTTTTCAGCTGTTTTTTCTCCTAATTTCTGCTTCTTTCAGCCAAATTGGGTAAACTTCTGGTAATTTCAGCTTGTTCTACTTTTTCAGCTGTATTTTTTTTAAAGCATTTTTAGTTAATTTTGGCTGTTTTCAAATACATTCAAGTTTTCATGGCATTTTCTTCTACTTTCATCCAAATTGACTTCTTTATGCTAATTTCAGCTTGTTGTGCTCATTTCTGTGTAATTATACTAGTTTCAGCCATTTCTGCTCTTTCAGCTACTATTTAGCTGTTTTATGCTAATTAGATTTTTTTCAGCCAATTCCACTTTTTTTTATTTTTTTTAGCTCATTTCAGGACTTTCTGCTTCCTTTGGTTAGTTTAGGCTTCTTTCTGCCTTTCAGCTACTTTTCAGCCATTTTTATTTTTATTTTTTGCAAATTTCAGCTTTTTTAGCTACTTTACTAAAGTTTGTGCTAATTTCTACTTATTTAAACTTATTTCAGTAATTGTGTTCTTTCTGCTTTCTTCTGCTAATTTAGGCTTGTTCTCCCATTTCAGCTACATTTCAGCATGTTTTTAGCTCATTTCAGCTGTTAAATAAGCATTTCAATAAGCTATAATAAGCATTCACACTGCATTTTCACAGGAATTTCTCTAGTTAAAGTACATTTTAAGAATCACACACACATTGACCTCTAATGTATGAATAAGTATTTAATGATGAATAGTGGTAAAAATCTATAAAAAGTTGTGATTTAACTTCTGGAGAGTTGAAAAACTGATAAAAGAGACGCGTGAGATTTTTTTCCAATTGCATAAAGTCTGCTTTTTACATCCACTGTACTTTTCTTTATATATTGTATAAAAATCAACAATCGAGGCTCGTTCCTTCCTCTACATGTGGGATCTCATTACAAGTACAGAGACACTCTGTTTTAAAGGATGTTATGACTGTGGACTGAACTGACCTTGACTTTGGACACAGAGAGAAATCTGTTTCCTGCACATTTTCAAGTAGAATCTCAAACTAAAAATGACAACCATGAAAGCTGTGAGCGGATTAGAAGTAATGTCCCTATTGTTTGCTGTTCTAGCTAAATTGTATTTATTAATGTAAAAAAAAAAAAGGATTCTTATTTATAAATAAAAATGTTTGTACGGCCTTTAGTCAAAAACAAATGGAATGAAACAAATTGTAATAACAGTTTTGCATATTTGAAACACCTTGCAGGGTAATTCCTCATAGTTAAAATAGCCTAAAAGGGCTTTAGATCTGATGATTAGTCCCAAACTAACTTCTTGTTTTCTTCTTCAGGTCTCTTAAACCTCCTGAAAGAGACGTTCACCCACATTCCCAGCTTCGACATGAGTCCGGCAATGATCAGCATGCTGATACGGCTGATGCTTTCTCAAGCTCAGCAGTGCCTGCTTGAGAAGATCGTACTGAATGGAGTCCCAAACCAGTTCTGCTCTCTGATAAAAGTTGCTCAGGAGGCTGCTAAAGTAAATAGCCACACACATGCTCCTATTGTTCTCGCATCATAAAGTGAAAATGGTCTTTCTGCTACTGTCCTCAGTCACATTTGGTTCAGATCAGTTCTTTTGATGTCTCTTCAGTAACATTCTTGTCCTCCTCCTGTCAGGTCTCAGAAGTCTATGACCAAGTCCATCAGTCCATGATTCAGACGACAGTCAAAGACAATGTCCCATTCTTCTGGTCCACCATGTCAGTAGTCAAAACCAACCACTACCGATCCATGGCTCATTACTTTGTAGCTATAGCACTGCTGGATCATGAATGTAAGAAAACATTTACATTTTTTAACACTTACTGAAGGTATACAACTTTGCTGTCTGAGATTAAACTGAGTAGCAAGGCTTGAGTGAGTGCCTACATTTAAACACATTAATTAAGTATTCGCCGAAAGTTCTGTTTGTGCTTCTGTATTGGTTGTCTCAAATGGCTGGGTTGAACTTCAGCCAGCCCTAATGCTGTTACATAACACACACACACACACACACACTCACTCACACGGATTGGTTTGTGTGCAGGAATTGCTGCAAATAGAGAGTGAAACAAGACAATAAGAGAATTCAAAGTAGAAACAAAGATAGTTGGAACAGATTTAAAACCCAGAAGGATTACAGCGATGAAGCCTCTTACAGAACCAGCAACCAAGACGGTGCAAGGGCAGGATTTGTTTTTTTCTGTGTGTGTGTGTGCATGCATGTGCAACCTCATGAGGTTGATAGGAATGTATTTGCTTGTTTTGTAACTGCATTGGTTTTGTTCTGATGGTGATTAGTTTTGATGTGTTGAATAGGTCACAGTTATTTTTAATTAGGAAATGTTGTAATTTATGCTTGCATCCACAGTCCATTCAAGTTTTCCATTTCTGTTCTCTGTGTTGTGGCTATTTGTTCATTTCAAGAGGCTCAAGTTGAAAATAACATTTAAATAACGTGTATCAAATCATACGAAGCCGTACGCTGAATCGCCAAGGTTTTTACAATGGGGCAATATTGAACAGAAAAACATGGGAGCTTGGCAGCTCATTAACAGATTCCTGTGTGAACACAGAGAAAGAAGCAATTCAGAACAGAACAGAGAGGACTCCAGGAAGATATAGGACTGATTGAAGACTACTGTAGTAAACAGATTTTGTCATTCAACCTTTATTTATACAGGTTAATCCCATTGAGCCTCGATGGCTCCTTTACAAGAGAGACCTGATTTTAACAAAGAATGATGACAACAGTGGGTAACAATGACAACAGTAGACAATCATAAAAGAGGCATACAGATTTTTTTTTTTTTTTTTTACAAATTAAAATAAGATGGCAAAAAAAAGTAGCAAAAACGGCAAGATTATAAGGCGATTTAGAAAACTAAAAATAGGAAGATGTCTGCATTTGTTTTTGCCAGGAACTTAGCAGATGTTTGAAGCCACTTGGAGAGGTCAAGGTCGAGAGATTCAGATCTTTTTGCAAAATATTCCAGGAAACGGGAGCAGAGTAGGAGAAGGCCCTTTTGCCTAGTTCAGTCCGCACTGAGGGAACACTGCATGTAATAATGTCCTGAGAGTGCACGCTGTAGCTGCACTCACACAGAAACATGTAGGAGGAGATGTATGAAGGCAGCAGACCAAGAAGTGATTTAAAGATGAAAATGTACCAGTGGGAGAGTCTGTGTGAAGTTGATGTCCAGTTAACCAGTGAATGCAGGGTGTAGTGGTGGGTACGATAATCACAGCCAGTTATGAATCTTAATGCACCATGATAGACAGCATCCAACATCTGCAGGGTTCTTGTAGGATCGTTTATGTAAATAATGTCACCATAGTCAATGGAGGGAAGGAAAGTCACATTCAGAGTTAGACAGGATCGATTTTTGAAAAAAGAAACCCATTTTAGCTTTCAGTTTCCTTACTAGGTTTTCCACGTGGAGCTTAAGAGAGATGCGCGTCGACCAAGATACCCAAATATTTATAGAAATCAACAAACTCAATAGGGACACCATTTGAGGATAAAATCAGAGGAAGAACTGCTGGGACCGACTTCCTGTTTGAAAAAAGCATCCCTTTGATTTTTATCGGCATTTAGGACAAGTTTGAGGTGGAACAAATCTGCCTGGATGATGTCAAAGGCGGATTGCAAAAGCTGGAAAGCCTTAGCAACTGTTTTAGCTCGACAGTAAACAACTGTGTCATCAGCATAGAAATGTATGGATGCATCAAGGATGCTTTAACCTACATTACCTATGTAGATTGTAAAGATGGTGGGTCCTAAGAATGAGCCTTGTGGTACACCATTTTTGACTGTTAAATAACTGGAGGAAGTACCATTATGTTGAACACATTTAACACAAACGCATATAAATGCATGTATTGCTTGTGGGAGGAAAACTGCATGATCAAAGCTTAAATAATGTTCTGGTGAAGATGTGTGAGCTTTCAAATCCTGTAAATTAGGAGCTGCAGAGAGCTAATTACAAAAACATACCAAAATATACATTTTAGGAGGATTGGCATGTGGATGAGCTTAGACATGGAACAAACACACAGTCCTATCTCAATCATAATCAAATCTCTCCAATTTTAACTTCTCTCCATTGGCTCCCTGTCAAGTTCAGAATTGAATTCAAAATCTTACTTCTAACGTACAAAGCTCTCAACAACCTAGCTCCATGGTACAGATCTTATTGTTCCATATTTTCCTAACGGAGCACTTCACTCTCGGACTGCAAGCTTGCTTATGGTTCCTAGAGTTTCTAAAAGCAGAATGGGAGGAAGTTATCAGGCTCCTCTCTTGTGGAACCAATTTCCAGTTTCTGTCAGTGAGGCTGACACATTATCCAATTTTAAGACTGGGCTTAAGACTTTCCTTTTTGATAAATCATATAGTTAGACTTGTTATGCTGCTATACGTTTAGACTAATGGAGGACAAATTGACCTTATTTCTTAAAATGAATTGTTAAAATTTATAGATTTAATTAGATATTTCTATCTTAACGTGATTCTCAACCTGCCAAACCCAGCCGGTTGAAGCATATGGCTGCATGTCCTGAGCCTGGTTCTGCTAAAGGTTTCTTCCTCATGAGGGAGATTTTCCTTTCAACTGTCGCCTTCATGCTTGTTCAAGATGAAAGTTTGCAATGAAGTTCAACTCAAAGCAGTCTTCTCTAATAAATAAAGTTATTAACTTACTTTTTATGTATCGGTATATAAATGTTTCTGTTCTGTGCCCTGATATGACTTCTGTTGTGACTTGGCGCTATATAAATAAACTGAATTGAATTAAATCCTAAAATTATCTCAAATATTTATCACAGTTGAGAAAACATTTCTTCAAATTTAAATTGCGCATACCTACAACCTTTTCTTTCTCAACAAACGGAGAAACCATGAACATAAAACATAAAGGCTGATGTTGCATGAGGTTTCAGAGACAAAAGCACATTTCATCACATGTCAGTCAGTTAACCAGAGTTTCAAATATACAGCAATGTACAAAAAGCTGTTTCCCACTAACAATTCTTTGTCTGTGTTTAGTGAGACCCAGTGATGATGAGGACCAGCAGGAGAAGACATTATCACAGGTGTATGATGAGCTCCCTGAGGAAAGCTCGCCTGTCGACATCCTGAAGAACAAAGATGAACGTGAGCGCTTCGGTAAGAGGAGCACCGTAGTGGAAAACAAGACAAGAGACTGCCTTGGCAATAGATTTGAGCCTTCATGATGACCCCTTGAGTCTCACTTTCTACCTGCCCTCTTGTTCATGCTCCTTCTGCTTCTCTGCTTTTTCATTATTTACATCTGTGTTGATTTATTTTTTGCTTCTTTCCAGGTAAAGCTCACATTCGCTATGCCATCTTGGGTCAAGAGGAGGCTCTGAGGATTTATGGTCTATGTGAACACTTGAACCAGCTGGAGACCCTGAAGGACATTTTAAAAGCCAGCCACCACCTGTCGCTTGAAAAGTACAGTTTCTATGAAGACGAGGAAGAGTTCACGGACTACATGGAAGCTCCAGATGTCATCCGTGAGTCGTGTGTTTTTAAGATAAGTTAACCATGTTTAGTTTAACGCAGGATGTGGAGGTCTGAGAAATTGTTAGTTTTATTTGAGGCCTTGTTGTAGGAGAAGAATAGTCAATTTAAAACTCAACGACTTCAGTGTCACCACAACAAACCATTGTGTTGATGTGGCAGGTTTGTTTCTCAGGAAACTGCAGACACAAAGCTTCCACACCTGCTGCGTTATATTAGCTGTGATAAGTGACAGTTCTCTCCAACTTCAGATGATGTAATGTTTACACCGTTAACTCCCTTCTCATCTCTCTACAGTGGTGACCATAAACAGTGACAGCATTGTCTTTTTTTAATCTTCTTCTTTTTTTATTTTTTTTTTAGCTAAAACAGAGTACAGAGCAGAAATGGAGGTTCCCACAGCAACAAAGGTGAAAGTCATCGACTTTTTCCAGAGACTGGTATGTGGGTTACTAATACCTTTCCACTCACATCACTGTTTTTGTTTTGTGTTTTTTTCCTTGTTTGATGGTTGGTTTATTCATGAAGTGATGTAAAGCAGCTCCGGATTTGTGTTTTCTGCGTTGAATCTTGTAATTTAAAACCCAAAAAGTACTCTCTTCTGAATAAAACCAACCACGGGTGAACCTCCTGAAAGCTTTGGAACATTTGGTATTAAAGCACAAAGCTCGTTCATTTCCAAAGCATTTTGGACTTTCATTCAAAGAAAAGAAAAATGCATAAAAATCTAACACTAACACTGGACAGAGGCGGGCTGGTGCTGGTTTCAGCTATAATTAGGTCATTTTGGGGCTTACTGTAGGGCAGCTGTTGGAGTGGAGCTTCTTACAGTTCAGCACTGCTGTTATGGGATAATAATCAGTAATTATATTTTTATTTGTGCTGAGGATTTGTGGTTAACATTGCAAACATACAGTCTGTTCTCTGGACTGTAATCTCTAAGGACATCCTGTACAGACATGGGACTTTCTCTTACCTTTAACCTAAATCTTGGATTATTGTAACCATTTTTTGTGCGCATGAACCTTAGGCACCATATACGACTGAAGCTGGAATAATGTTTTGTTTTAGAGACTTTACCTTTCAAGTATTATGTGCCTTTTATTTAGCACAGATTACAATTACTCTAACAAAAACCAGATATGTGTTTCAGGCAGCAGGGAGTAAAACCTCTGAGAATAAGTACCTCATTAGGTCCTGTCATAAACCCCCACCCAGTTCCTCATTACCTGTATAAGAAACAGGACTTTATTCTCAAGGGATGAAGACGAGAACACTTTAATTCAGCATAGATACTACAGTGGGACATAAATCAGGGCATTTTAATGTTGCAGAAGGTTGATTATTGTGATTTAATGGATGTTTTCATCATCAAGTGGCAAATGTAAAAGCTATGTGAGCTCATTGTAATGTTTCTGTACTCGCTGGGCATAAATGTACATACACAAAGAGTTCACAACACATAAACAGAACATGAACTTTTCTTTAGGAAACATCTCCATGAAGCAGCACATGTGCAAAAAGAACTTTTGGGCTTTAATGAATATCAGATTTACACATTATACATGTGTAATACGTTATTTATTTTTCTATCAAAATTAATAAACAATCAAATTGTTGAATGTCTGACTATCAGAATCTATGTTAGATGAAGGTTTTACTCTTTTGACAGAAGTTCTGGTGCCTATTTTAAAACCATTCAAACTTTGCTTACTTGTTTAGTGTTATTAGGTTTCTGCATCATTTAACTCTCAGCAGATTCAGCTTCAACAGGAAGGCAGCTGAGGGTATATTGACTTCAGTCTTGTTGGGATCACTGGATTGAAGTTGATAATGGTTTTCTTCACTTTTGATTTCGGGCTTCAGGGTACGGATCCCCTGTGATAAACGAGGGACTACTGTATGCACAAAAAGGTTGCGTACGTCATGTTCTAGACGCACATCAGAATGTATCAAGGCAAATGTTGCATAAATCTGTAGTGAGAACTGTGCGCACTACCATGCAAACTTTTTCAGTCGACAGTATTAAATTACAAAATACTAAAACTCACCTACCGGTACATACACTAAAATATAACTCCATTTGGTTTACAGAACCCAGGGGGCATTTAAACCTGTTTTCTCAAGACTTTGACCATATATGGTTTAAATCTGAATGATGAAACTGAACCACATTGAACCTCAAATAACAAGCCTAAAAAACAATGGTAAATGGACTGCACTTATATAGCACTTTTCTATCAAAGCACTTTGCACTACAATCTGTGCCCTCATTTACCCATTCATACAGCACTCTACTAGATCTCTACAAAGGGTAATCAGTGCTTTATCACATTCATACAACGATGGGACACACATTGGAGGCAATGAGGGATTCCGTGTCTTGCCCAACGACACTTAGGCATGTGACTGCTGGTGGAACTAAACCCCAATTCTCACATTGGAGGACGATGCTCTAACCACTTAGCCACAGCTGCCCCAAATCAAAATCAATCAAAACAACCTCACCACACTGTAAACTGCAAAATTTCTTAGATGTAAATGTGTCAGTGACTGCACGTCTGGGAAGTGCATAGACAGATGTGGCGCATATAATGTACGTCTGATAAATTGTCTAAGAAGCGTTTCCATTCTCACTGAGAAGAAAACTGTGTCAAATCATCATATTCAGAGCAAGTCACGTAGGGTGATTTCTCAGGTCGAGGATGCAGACCATCACAAATGTCCATACAGAGGGCGGCACATTCACATTGTCACAATGAGTGGTTATGGCCGAGTTGTTCGAGAAGTCATTCTCCAATGCAAGATTTGGGGGTTTGAATCCACCAGCAGTCACATGCTGAAGTGTCCATGGGCAAGACACTGAACCCCTCATATCCTCCAATGTGTGTCCTATCGCTGTATGAATGTGATAATGTACTGATTAGTCTTTGTAAAGATATAGTAGAGAGCTGTATGAATGGGTAAAGGAGGGCACATATTGTAGTGTAAACAGCTTTGAGTATCTTGATAAGATAGAAAGGCATTACATAGAAGTACAGTCCATTTACATAGCAGTCAAGGACACTGTACAGTAAAAAAAAAAGAACATGCAGTAGAAAAAAATAGGGTAACAAAAGCGTTATGCAATAAAATGGAACATTAAAATCGAAAGAGCACCTGAGTAAATTAAGATGGATAGTGATGGATATGGATAAGATGGATTTAAAACAATGGGTTTTCAAACCAGTTAGGAACTGCGAGAGCAGTAATGTTGTGTAGGTCAGAGAGCAGTGAGTTCCAGAGTTGAGGAACGAAGCGGCTTAATGCCCTTCTCCCCATGGTGGTGAGGCGGGCTGAAGGTTCAGAGAGGTGGAGGGAAGAGACGGATCTGAGGGAGCAGGAGGAGATGGAGAAGTGCAGCTCAGATAGATATGATGGAGCAAGATTGTGGATGGAGTTAAAAGTGTAAAGAAGAATTTTGAAGATGATGCGAGATTTAACCGGGAGCCAGTGAAGCTGCTGCAGGACGGCAGTGATGTTAATATAGGAGGGGGTTTGAGTGATGACATGAGCAGCAGAGTTCTGAACCATCTGTAGCTTGTGAAGGGATTTATTGGGGCGGCCATAAGAAGGGAATTACAGTAATCAATCAGGGACTTCACAAGACTGTGGACAAGGATGGCAGTGTAATGAGGTGTGACAGAAGGACGGATATGGTTAATGTTACGAAGGTGGAAATAAACATATCAAGGGACATTATTGATGTGGGACGTGAAGGAAAGTGAGCTGTCGAGGATGACATCCAGACTCTTTATCTGAGGGGAGGGGGAAAGCAGAGAGTTGAGTGAGAGGAGAAGACATTCAGATTTGGAAAGAGTGTTTTTGGTACCATCAAGGATGAGTTCGGTTTTATCACTTATGATATGCAGAAAATTGTTAGAAAACCAGAGGTTGGGCTCATTGAGACGAGCAGTGAATGTGGATGGTGGGAGTGTAGAATTAGGAGAACAATTGTAGAACAATGATAGCTTGGCGCTGCTGATAGACGTCACCAATAGAAGAATTGGGTGGCAGCATGTTTTTGAGATCACACTGATCAAACAACAATAGGGTACCTCACAGTTCTTCTGAGCTGAGCCATGTCAGCTGTGTGGGATGGCCTTGTCCTTATATGTTGTCCTAATATATCATATTCCCCTACACCATGAGTGAAACACTCCATTGATGTCCAGCGACTTGTTTCTGAACATCAACTAGTGATGGAACAAGTCTCTAAATTCTACCAAGCCCCAGAGTTCCTCTGTGTAATATGTAATTATGTTATTAAACACATTCATAAAGTTGGAAATGCCTCAGTCTCAGAAGTGCACCGCCAGCAGATCAGCACTCCTTCATTCAATGACAACCACAGCTTCACACTCATTAAAATACAACGTAGCCCATTAACCCATGTTTCTTCACGATTTGTCCACTCAGGGCCCTCTGTCAGTCTTCTCAGCCAAACAGAAGTGGACACCCCCAAGGACAGTACGGATATTTCCAGTAGATAGAGACGAAGGTTTTAATCTGAAAGGAGACGCTCCTGTCCAGGTGGTTTCATTGGACCCGTCCTGTCCCGCTGCAGTGAGTAAAATTGTATTGTTTAACTTTGACTTTACTGAGGACGTTTAACTATATCACAGATGGCATGCATCAGGATATATCACAGATAAGTTTTGGTTTTCATACGCCAGTATAGTGTAATCACCTTATTTCCTTCTGTTTTCTTCCACAACTACATTTATATATTTATTTTTTGTTCCTCTAACAATTCAGTTATTTAAGACACCAAATTGTTTGAATAGCCCTAATTTATTATCCTCTGAATGAATCAACATATCATAATCGGGCCGTTTGTCACAGGGGATTTTTACATTTATTGTTAAAAATACTAAAACAAATAAAACAGTTTTAAAGCTCTGTCTCAGTGGCAATACTCTTCTTTTGCTCTGACTGGAACAAAAATTACTGCTAAGGTTGCCTGATATTAACTTTTAGAAAAACTTTAAATAACGGACAGTGAATTATGAACATTAAAATCTATTTGAAATGTCAGACCAGCTGATAATCAGAAAATAGTCTCCGTATAAAAAGACTTACCAATTTTTTTGTTTAACTTTAAACAGTCTCCATAAGTTACATAGGAGCAAACCTAAAAAATGTTGGAAGGCAATTCCCTTTTCTGCTACTATGTTTAGTTAATAACATTAAGAATTAAGGAGCATTTATGTTCTCTGGTCCTTTATGGCTCACTGAAATGTGCCAACAAAGAGCAGACTCTTATTAGGCCTTACATGATGCAATTGCATAAGCTCAAATAGGCCAAACCTTTTGTAACCTTGTTAAATTGCATTCAACAAGATTTTTATTTAGAACAGAGGGATAAAAAAAAAAAAGATTATTGACCTGCTTGATTAAATAAAAATTGAGTTCTCAGACAAAAGAAGCTGAAAGCCTGTCTGTAAACATAGACCCCATCAGAAATAATGTGCCCTGGTGCAAATACTCTCTTTAAGTTTTTCTGCTTTAAGAAAGTACCTACCCTTAGAGTAGGAAATAAGAAATTCAACTTGACTGTTGTTCTGATAAAACACCAGCTGAAAATACATAGTGTCTAATATTGCGTCATTTATTTTCCTCTCCAACATGTTTTCTTTCACTTATCTTTTATAGGGTGTTGGTCTAAGAGAGGGTGACTATATTGTTGGTGTGGGTCAAAAGGACTGCAAATGGATGGGAGTGGGTGAAATGTTACAACTTCTGAAAGATGTCGATGAAGACGGGATAGAAATCCAGGTGGTGAGCCTGATGGCCAGCAGCCCTTCATTGGTATGTTCTGTCACTGTGAAAAGTTTCTTTAAATAAAAATTAAGTATTCTATAAAAACCTAACAACATTCAGTCAGGTCATCTGGATGGGTTTTTTTTGCCGTGGGGGGGGGGGGGGGGGGTGGTCTTTGGGGGGGGGGGGGGGGGGGGGGGGGGGGTTCATCTTTCATCCAAAGGACTTCATCAGTCCGAGGAGCAACAACAAACTTAGTCCCATAAGTAGCACACTCCCACTCCCATAGTGGACGAACCAGTTTGCTGGTGATGAGATGGTTTCTGGGGCCTGCCTGCTCCCCCACTGACTCCTCTGAGGCAGTCATAGTCAAAGTGGTTCACAACATCAAAGTTCAGTTCATGTTCAATAATCCAGTTAAAAAATCCAACAAAGTTCAGTCAGGTCATCTGGATGGTTTCTTTCTTTTTTGTTTTTGTTGAGACATTTCATCCTTCATTCAAAGGACTTCATCAGTTCAAGGAGCCACAACAAACTTAGTCCCACAAGCAGCACACTCCCTTAGTGGACCAACCAGTTTGCTGGCCCCAGAAACCATTTTATCACCAGCAAACAGGTTGGTCCACTGTGGGAGTGTGCTGCTTGTGGGACTAACTGATGAAGTCCTTTGGATGAGGGACAAAACGTCTCAACAAAAACAAACAAAAAAGAAACCATCCAGATGACCTGACTGAACATTGTTGGATTTTTTTAACTGGATTATTGAGCATGAACTTTTATATTCTGTCAAAAAAGCAATATAATAGAAATGCACTATTTCTATGATAACCACATATTTTGATTTATGCAGCTGTACATTCTTTGGATTAGAAATTGATACATTAGTCAGATTTTAGTTGTTTCATAACCGTAATGTGTGTAAAATATTTGTTAATTAATAACCTAATGACAAGAAGCAAATGCTTTTTTTAGATTGGTTAATCAGTGAAGCAGTGCAAGACTAATAAAGTATTTTCTGTTTCCACCCAGCCAACCAAGAGTGCCACCTTTTCTGGAAACTTGCCTAAAACCTATTCCATGATTTGCCTGGCTTATGATGATGAAGAAAAGCATCCGAAATCCCGCAAAGTAACCAAGAAGTCATCATTTCTGAGCTGGGGCCTAAAGAACAAGACTAAGAGTGCCAGCACCCTGAGCCTGCCGACAGTGGGTCAGTCTGGTGCTCTGCCCTGGAACAAACCCATTCCCACCTTCCCCAGCTCCAGCACCTACAACATCGACGGCGGCCACTGAGCTGACCGCAGCCTTCCTGCTGTCTGCAGATAATGTGCAGTGTATGTACAGCTTGTGTACAGTACTTTGCTGTAGCCATACTGGACCTGCTGTAGTACACTGTTGGTGTCTGTTGGTGTTTCCACAAGAAGATCAGCAGTACTGTTTGTACTGCTGCTTGTGTTTCACCAACATAACTGTTACCAGCTGCTATTAAACAAAACAATTAAATAAAAACTAAAAATCACTGGACCAAATACTGCACGCTGGTGCCTGCGCTGTTACACGGGCACCATCCAAGGACAGTTCTGTAGTTTAGGAAAGCTGAACTGAACATCAAGAAAGAAGCTAGAGCTCCTTCTGCATCATTCCAGTATGTGTACAGCACAGTACAACTGCAAATACCAGTTATCATTTTACACCTGTCAGTCACAAATCTCTGCTTTTTTTTTTATTTTTTGTAAGGAACACTCCAGTCAAGTTAAGAAAAGTAAATAAAGTTGTGAAAGTCACTGTCTTAACTGCAACGAGGTGGTTTTATTGCAGTGAGGTCAGTGTGTCACTGCGCTTCGTGCATATGTTTTATACTGTACAAATGAAGGACTCCGTCAACGTCACAATGTTTGTTGCCGGGGTTAGAAAGTCGTATGATTTCTAAATAAAATTTACTTTTTAATAAATGTTCTTGCAAAAATGATAGTGATTGAGGGAAAAGCAAACCGTGCTGTGAACTTTTTTTAAATTTTATTTTCCTAGGAAGAGTTGTAGAATGCAATATCCTATGAGCTGCTAAATCTGATGTGTGTACCTTGTTTATGTGTTTGTGTATTTGTCAGTCAGTCTTTGAGGGTTATAATCGTGCCATGCCATTTGGGGCACTGTATAAATGGAAATATTTGTATTTTTGTTTTGATGTACCATCCAATCCCTCGTTCCACATGTTGCAATGTACCTTTCTGACTCGTGTTACCCACTTTTGTTGGAGTTGCTGTTAATGTTCATCACAATGTAGTAAAAAAAAAAGATTTTACACTAGAAGGGAAAAATGTGGGCACACTGATGAGCTTCATGCAGCACACTTGGACTTTGATCATAGCCCACAGCAAGATTTCTCCTCGTCTTAATGGTAAACACTTCTCACGTTTTCTTGACACTTTGCAGTGTTTGATTATGTTATCTACAAAGTAGATACTTGCATTCATTTGATAATCAAATTATTTAATAAAAAAAAACAAATATATACTTGTAAGATTGAGATTTTAGTGCTAGTTCAAGCTATAAATTGTTACACGGTGGACTTCTCGGTCTTTTGGAGGAATGTATCCTTTGGTTAACTTGTGTACTACTACATGACATTTTTTTTAATTGTAAATGTTTTTAAACACACTGAGAAAATGCCACATTCTGCACCGTCTTTGTTTACATGATGTGCTGTAGGTGCCATTTATCTTAAATCGTAAGGAAAACCTGTTCTAGTGTACAGCGGTTGCTTCATGTTATGCTAAAAGTGTGTGTACCTGTGCAGCGGATACACACAGTACTACTTTTTGTCCATGCCACAGTGCCTAGTGTTTCTAAATGCCTCGGTGTGCACAAAAGGGGTTGTGGTGACTTATAAATCTTTCAGGCTGGCCTTTTTTTGCACTTTGTGCTGCATAGCTATTACTTTTGTCATATATGTACACATAAATAATAAAAAAAAGATTAATTTAATTAGTTTGCCTGGTTTTGTCTGTACGAGGTTAAAAATGCCAAGCAGGTAGAAAATGCCAGGAATGAAGTCTGCCCACAGCCCACGCTGAGTCAATACACCAAGATGGTGTTTTTAGCTCTTTCTCCAGGTCTGCCTGGTACCACATGACCTCTTAATCCATCACACAGACCGAACAGAAACACGTGATTACACTTGACCCTCTAACTTCATTCAGTCACAGGGGCGATTCTAGAGTCTGACCTTCAGGGGTGTTTAGCCCCCAGTGCTGACAGTGGCTATTGGCTTGAACAACGTAGTGGCCAGTGGCATCAGTGTTGCCAGGTGAGAAATGTAGGATTATTGTACTAGAGACATAAAATTATTGTATTTTGAGGGAAATTATCGTACACTTGTCATAACCAAAATAAATCTATTGATACACTATAGTAGTGATGGGTCCGCTTCCAGACCGGCTCTGTTTCTTCTTTTCTTTTCCTCACTCATGGGGCGGGCGCAGCGGACTATTCATCCAATCATGGCCGTTGTTCTGAGGCAAACACAACCACGTCACTCGTCGGTCACATTAACAAAAGCACGATTGGCTGGAAATTCCAGCCAATCGAGCATCTGTTTGCAGACCCAGATGCCTTCAGGGTTCACAAAAAAACCCCAACAAACGGTTGTGAGATGCTGACAACCGATTACAACCACACATTCATGGAATGGTCAAATTATCGTATATTTGGCATTTTTTCGGATTACTGATCGTACAGAGGGCAAAATTGACGTACACGTACGATAATTATCGTACACCTGGCAACACTGAGTGGCATCAGCAACATTCATAATGGGTGTGGGGGGACCCTGGTGGGGGGTCTCCCCCAGAAAATTTTGAATAAAGTAGATGCCATTTCCTGTATTCTGGTGTATTTTAATGGGTTGTTAAACAACTACCTACAAAAGTAAACACGATTAAATAGAGTTAATGGCACAACAGGAAGTAGCACCAAGCTAGCGACATGCAGTACAGATGTGCTAGCTAAGATGCTACAGACGTAGTGCTCTGCTTTACATTACACAACCTAATAAACGCTTTGTACAAAATTAGTCATAATTAAATTTAATTAAATTAATTTTTTATTTAATTTTTTTAAACTATTTTTATTTGTTTTTGTATTGAACGTTTTTTGAATTAAACTATTTAAACATAATTTTTGAGGGCCAGACATGTTGGCCTTTGGTATTAGATACATCTAGTTCGTTTTAATAAGTAGGACGCAACCGCCCCCTGCCGGACGCGCTGTTGCCAGGCAGATGCCTCGTTGCTAGGGAAATCAAAACGGCCTCTGATTGGCTAATTTTGAGAAGCCTAACCAATCAACACTGCTTTTGTATTGAGGTTGCCGAATGTAGTCCAGCGTCTAGAAACAAGGGCTGTGGCAAGAAGATTGATTTAGTTAGCTTGCTTCACGTAAACTCTAAATAACAGAAGAAATAAAAATAATTTTACAATAATGTTAGGCTGGCATTTTTAATGCAGTTTGACCAAAAATGGTCGGCAGAGAAACACGAGCTGTTTGCTAATAGAAGAAAACTTTACGTGAACTTCAAGAAGCTACGAAGACGTTTCAACATGCTAAAATTCAGCTTCAGACGGGAGAAGGACAAGGACTTTGTAAGTTTCGTGTTTTTTTCTTCTTCTTCTTCTTCTTCTTCTTTTATTGTCGGGATTTTTAAGTTTGCCGGCAGCTAGCATAAATGATTACCTTTTGAAGAATGTAAACATTTTTTTCGTATACTAACTCTGTAAAATGCCTTAAAAGAAATGACAACAGCAGTTATGTCTCATCGTATGCAGTCATGGTTCATTCTCATCAACTTGTAGCTTCTTTAACCCCTCTGGTCCTCCTCTCTAGAGACATATAGCTCCTGGTTTGATCCCTGCTGCCTCCATCGCTCCTAAAGCGGCTGTACCTCGTACCCCTCCCCCGAGAAGTCCCCATCCCTCACCCGAGAGACCCAGGTGGTACCCAACACCCCCTCCTCCATCTCCTCCATCTTTCTACATTACTCTTTTTTCTTTTTTCCCCACATACTTATCAACTAATCAGATTATTGATGAATATGGTTACAGTTGTTACTGAAATATTGTGAACTATTGCAACACAGTAACGATAGGCTTATTATGCTAAATGTATTATGTTTTTGTTACAATGGTATAAACATAAAAAAATGAAACATTTGCTCTCAAGCTTTATTGTGATGGTTGTAATGTATTTATGTAGTTCTCTTACACAAAGTGTGCTCACATCTACAGGTCAGCCTTAGCTGCAGCCATTTTGTCTTCGTCGCTCACTGGACAGACGTGGGCAATTCCTCCTGCTCGGCGGAGGTCCTTCTCTGAGACAGGACAGTCAGAATCCTTCACGTCCAATCCAAACTTCAGCACTGTACTTTACGCCAGGTCATCACTTTGTCATGCACATACAACACCACCCTCAAACTTATTGTGAACTGAAAATCAGCCTTAATTGGATTAAAATTGGATTGGTCCAAAACTATTGCTTCTTGGATCTGCCTTAAAATTCAAATTCTGTGTTTTGCACCAACTGTGAAAGCAGTTAACAAAATATGGCACATATCATTAATTATTATTCACCTTGAAACCTTCATCCATGTATCAAAATACAATGTAAATATTAGTTGTTAAGCTGAATGTTTTGCTTTTGTCTTTTACTGTTTCTGTCTGAGATTTCTCAAACACATGAACATTGCAAATCCATTATTAGTATAATCAGTCTCTGCACTGTAACTCATCAACAACATCTACTTTTGAATTAAAACACTTCCATCTCTATTCGAAGAAGTACCATAACTAACTTTTCCTGCACTACAATATTCTTCCATCCTCAAGAGACCGATGGTCTGAGGATTTGGCCAGCCGGTCACACCTGTCATCCCTCGAGCACTCGGAGGGGGAGCTTGAAAACAGGGAAGAGGACATGGACAATGGGGAGGATGGGGAGGAACATGTCTATCAAACTCTGGACAGGCGGGAACATCTAAGAGTGACAGAATGTGTCCATGACCTGCCTGCAGAAGCAAAGGTAAGGAAGCACAGAAAGACTGGTGCGAGCAGGAATTTCATTCTTGCATGCTTCACTCACAAATCATAGCACTGTTCTGATGCAAATAACCTAAATGTAATTATTTGAATAAATGAAACATCTGTAAACCCATCCATCTATGCATCCATCCATCCATCCATCTATCTAATCTATTGTCGGGTCGCGGGGCAGCGAAGGCAAAGCAAAACAAGCAGGTGAAGAGAAGACTTAGATTTTGACAGACTTAAATATTTATGAAAATGAGCCAAAGATTATCAAACACCGGATAACAATATAATTATAATGGAACATTATTGTAAAATCTATTACAGTACAGTAAAGTATTCAAAGAGTGTATTATTCACATATTCTTCTTCCTGTAGATCAGTGCTTCTCAATTATTTCTGTTATGCCCCCCAGCCCCCCCCCCCCATCTCTCCGCTGCAACTGTAAATAGAATCATTTGTCTATAAAATTGTTACAAGTACACCTCTGCATAACATTATATCCTTATTAACATTAAAGAAATAAGTATAGATCAACTCACAACAAAGATTATCAACATTGTTTCATAGTCTGTAACAGAAAAGCCTTAAAGTGCATCAGTTTACCTGAAATTAAAAAAATCTATCCTTATTTAAACTGTAAACATTTTTGACCATTTGATACTGAACAATCAAATTAAATACAATCAATACATAATAATGAATTCAAATTGATCAGCAACATTTTAACTCAGGAGTGTTATATAAAACACTGTGACCTACAAAACAAAAATGAATAAAACCGTTTGTGCTGATTATTTTTAATCAAAATGAGGAAGTCAGGATTAATGGCTACAATGAGCACATTTTGCAGTGCAGCTTTTTGAAGCAGAGTTTGAAACATGATCCTGCAGCTCTCAGCTCCGGCTCAATGTTTAGCTGGACCTGGACGTGGTCTTCAGAGCAGAAGAGAAGTCACAAAGAGCGCAGAGCGAGCTGGTTGGCTGGGGGCAGCCAGGGAACGCGCTCACAAGAGAAGAACCTGGCAAGTTGTTTAATGTCATAAGATATATTTTGTTAGCAAAGAAGAGAGTCCTAACATTTATTAAACATTACTTCTGTATTTTAAAAAACACACAAAAATTGTGCTTTGACAAACTAAAAAACTAAAACACAATGTTAAAGTGAAAGAGGAAGATGGGCAGGTAACACTCTCGCTTTGAGTTTATACTCTTTGTTGCATGCGTGCTGTGGGTGACAAGCGTCCAGAGCGTCACCAGCTGAGGAGGTAGATACTTAACTATTACGTTATTCTCATTTAAAATATTTCTCCTGAGTCAACATCCATGCATGTCAAGTTTGTTTAGTCTTCTCTCCTCTTTTGTGTCTGTTTTGGGAGGCAATTTCTTTAAACATAGAGACACAAAGATAAATTCAGCTTTTTTTCTTGATTAAGTTTCAAATTGGCTTCTGGAGATCCTCCATTCTTTGTTTGGAGGCAGAGCAGACTCTGAAGCACAGACTTGAAGAGGTCAGGCTGGAGACTGGTGGTTATGTTGACAACAGATTTTAACCTACAGGGAGAATGGAAAAGTGTTAACACCCTGAAGACAGCAGGAGCGTTGATCCTCTCAGGGACTTTAAAAGGAACATGACAACTAAGGTTTAGAGCTGCAGAACTAACAGGCAGTGATATTGTTTTAAAGTGAAATAACCAATCTAATATATCTTGATGGTAACCATAAAACATCCATCCATTATCTTTACCCGTTTATTCCATTTTGGGTCACGGGGGTCGCTGGTGCCCATGTCCAGCAATCACTGTGCGAGGGGCGGGGTACACCCTGGACGGGTCGCAAGTCCATCACAGGGACACATAGAGACAAACAACCATTCACTCTCTCACTCACACCTAGGGACAATTTAGAGTTACCAATCAGCCTAACATGCATGTTTTTGGTCTGTGGGAGGAAACCGGAGTACCCGGAGAAAACCTACGCATGCACGGAGAGAACATGCAAACTCCACCCAGAAGGCCCCTGGACCGGGGTTTGAACCAGGGACCTGTTCGCTGAGAGGCAGCAGCTCTACCAGTTGCGCCACCGTGCTGCCCAACCATAAAACTTTGATCTCTGAAACAATTTGACATTAAAGTTATCCAAAAATTTGCTGTTAGGCTGATTGGTAACTCTAAATTGTCCCTAGGTGTGAGTGAGAGTGAATGATTGTTTGTCTCGTGTCTCCATGTGTCCCTGTGAAGGACTTGTGACCTGTCCAAGGTGTCCCCTGCCTCTTGCACAGTGGCTGCTGGATATGGGCACCAGTGACCTCCGTGACCCAGAAAGGAAGAAGTGGGTAAAGATGGATGGATGGATGGATGTTTAAAATGACTTTCTTGCACATCAAGACTTTCTTGTCTGTCTGTCTGTTTGTTTATTTGATTGCATCTTTCTGACTATCTCTGATCTGTCCATGTCTTTTTCAGTCCACAACACCGCTGCCTGCTCAGATGTCTGACAGCAGAGTGCCATCTCCAGGTATCAACGTCACCCCAAAGACATATTGGTGCAATTTTGATCAAGAAATTTGTGGAACTTCATACAGTCAGTATAACATAAAGGTTCAATTTAATCTCTTTGCATCACTGATGATGTTTTTCAGAGACAAACAGAGCCCTCTGGTGGTGGATAGCTTACAGAAATGTTGGTATATTTGTGATTTACGTATATCTATCCATCCATCCATTATCTTTTACCCGCTTCTTCCATTTGTGGGTCATGGAGTTCGCCGGTGCCCATGTCCAACAATCACTGTGCGAGGGATGGGGGACACCCTGGACAGGTCTCCAGTCCATCACAGGGACACATAGAGACAAAAGAGACAACCATTCACTCTCTCACTCACACCTAGGGACAATTTAGAGTTATCAATCAGTCTAACATGCATGTTTTTGGTCTGTGGGAGGAAACCGGCGTACCCGGAGGAAACCCACGCATGCACAGAGAGAACATGCAAACTCCACCCAGGAAGGTCTCCGAACCGGGATTTGAGCCAGCAACCTTCTCGCTGAGAAGCAGCAGCTCTACTGTGCTGCCCTGATTTATGTACATATAAAATATAATATATAAAATATATAGTAGGGTGGCACGGTGGCTCAGTTGGTAGAGCTGCTGCCTCTCAGCAAGCAGGTTACCTGGTTCAAATCCCAGCCAGAGGCCTTTCTGGGTGGAGTTTGCATGTTCTCTTCGTTCATGCGTGGTTTTTCTCTAGGTACTCCAGTTTCCTCCCACAGACCAAAAACATGCATGTTAGGCTGATTGGTAACTCTAAATTGTCCCTAGGTGTGAGTGAGAGTGAATGGTTCTCTGTATGTGTCCCTGTGATGGACTGGAGACCTGTCCAGGGTGTCCCCCACCTCTCATAGTCACTGCTGGATATGGGCACCAGTGACCCCCATGACCCAAAAAGGAAAAATCGGATAAAGATAATGGATGGATGGATGACTGGATGGATAGATAGAAATATAAAGTAGGGGAAGTTGTGGCGCAGAGGTTAGAGACAACAAGTTTGTGATTGGGAGGTTGCAGGTTTGAATCCCCAGGCCAAATATAACTATGGTATTTGGGTGGGAAAGGTGAAGCACCCGCACCTGTCTCCACCCTCATTAGCCCCACTCTGGGCCCTAAAGCAAGGCCCATAATCCTCCCAGCTGCTCCCCGTGCTCCTTGGACAGCAGCTCTGCTCCACACTGAGGGCCATGGTAGCTCGGTGAATGTGGTTGCATGAGGATGAGCATCCAACGTAAAAACAATTGCCAAGTTTTTGTGTTAGTTTTTCTCGCTGTTGTGACCCCTGAAGAAGGGAGCAGCTGAAAGAAGAAAAAAAACATTTATATTTATTTGTGAACCATTCCATTGTAGATTTGTCTTTATGTTTTGGATCATTGTCTTGTTGGAAGATAAATCTCCGTCCCAGTCTCAGGTCTCTTGCAGACTCAAACAGGTTTTCTTCCAGAATGGTCCTGTATTTGGCCCCATCCATCTTCCCATCAATTCTGACCATCTTCCCTGTCCCTGTTGATGAAAAGCAGGCCCAAACCATGATGCTGCCACCACCATGTTTGACAGTGGGGATGGTGTGTTCAGGGTGATGAGCTGTGTTGCTTTTACGCCAAACATATCGTTTTGCATTGTGGCCAAACAGTTCGATTTTGTTTTCATGTGACCAGAGCACCTTCTTCCACATGTTTGGTGTGTCTCCCAGGTGCTTGTGTCAAACTTTAAACAACACTTTTTATGGATATCTTTGAGGAATGTCTTTCTTCTTGCCACTCTTCCATAAAGGCCAGATTTGTGCAGTGTACGACTGATTGTTGTCCTATGGACAGACTCTCCCACCTCAGCTGTAGATCTCTGCAGTTCATCCAGAGTGATCATGGGCCTCTTGGCTACATCTCTGATCAGTCTTCTCCTTGTTCCAGATGAAAGTTTAGAGGGACGGCCAGGTCTTGGTAGATTTGCAGTGGTCTGATACTCCTTCCATTTCAATATGATTGCTTGCACAGTGCTCCTTGGGATGTTTAAAGCTTGGGAAATCTTTTTGTATCCAAATCCGGCTTTAAACTTCTCCACAACAGTATCTTGGACCTGCCTGGTGTGTTCCTTGGTCTTCATGATGCTCTCTGTGCTTTGAACAGAACCCTGAGACTATCACAGAGCAGGTGCATTTATACGGAGACTTGATTACACACAGGTGGATTCTATTTATCATCATCAGTCATTTGGGACAACATTGGATCATTCCTAGATCCCCACTGAACTTCTGGAGTGAGTTTGCTGCACTGAAAGTAAAGGAGCCGAATAATATTGCACGCCCCTCTTTTCAGTTTTTCATTTGTTAAAAAAGTTTGACACATCCAATAAATTTCATTCCACTTCACGATTGTGTCCCACTTGTTGATTCTTCACAAAAAATTAAAATTGTATATCTTTATGTTTGAAGCCTGAAATATGGCAAAAGGTTGAAAAGTTTTATGTTAGCTGGGTGTATAATTTAGTTTTAGGACAAAGATATAAAGCTTAATTTCTTCTGTTATGGTGCTCATTTTCATATATCTTACAGATTTCACAGCGGGATCAGGTGACCAACATCCTGTAGCCGCAGGAAAGAAAGACTCTGTCACTAAGAACCCTGAACATTGGAAAGATGTGCCATGCAGGTGTGAGTAGCCAGTGGACTAACTTCTTGTTGTTATGACTTTTTATGTTTACTTAAGAAATAATTAAATTTCTGTAACTTGCTTTAAAAAATTGCTCATCGTGTCTTTGCTTTCTTTGGTCCAGTTGTCATGATATAAACATTATTTCAGATTCTTATCAAAGCTGTCTGTTCGAGAAATTTAAACCTTTAACTAGAGAAATTGCATTTCCTGCAAAAATGTAGTGTGAATGTTTATTTCAGAACTTGCTGAAAAAGAACTGAAATTAACTAAAAACATTCTGGAATGTAGCTGAAATGGGAGAACAAGCCTAAATTAGCAGAAGAAAGCAGAAAGAACACATATTTGCTGAAATAAGTTTAAATAAGCAGACATGAGCACAAAAATTAGTAAATTAGCAAAATAAAAAAGGCTGAAAAGTAGCTGAAAAGAAACAGAAAGAAGCTCAAGATACCAGATGAAAGTGGAAAGTACTGAAATGAGCTCAGAAAATGTGAGATTAGCTGAAAAGGCTAAAATTAGTATTAAATAGCTAAATAGTAGCTGAAAGAGCAGAAAAAGCTGAAACTTGCAGAAAGAAGCTGAAAGGAGCATAACAAGCTGAAATTAGCATAAAAACAGTTAATTAGGCTGAAAGTAGCAGAAACTTAAATTATCTGGAAACAGCTGAAATTAGCTGAAAACTGTTAAAAAGGTAGCTGAACAGGTAGAACAAGCTTAAATTACCAGAATAAATAAAAAAGAACATGTTTGCCCAGTTAGACTGAAAGAAGCAGAAACGAGCACAAAAAGTGGAAATTATCTGACAAAAGCTGAAATGAGCAAAAAGCAGCTGAAAAGTAGCTAACAAAGTAGAAAGAGGCTTAAATTACTAGAAGGAAGTTGAGAGAGCACATTGTTGCTGAAATAAGCTGAAAAAAGTTGAAAATATTGCAAAAAATGTTGAATTAGCTGAACAAGCTAAGATTAACATAAAACAGCTAAATAATAGCTGAACTAGTAAAAAAAAAAAGTTTAAACTTGCAGAAATAAGCTGAAAGGAGCAGAACAAGTTGAAATTAGTTGGAAGATGTTAGAAGAAGCACAAAATGTTGTAGTTAGCAGAAAGAATCTAAAAGGAGCACAAAACAGCAGAAAAAACACCTGAAATTAGCAGAATTAGCTACAAAATGTTTTAAGTTTGCACAAGGAAGCTGAAAGAAGCTGAACCAGAACAAACTGTGAAAGGATCAGTAAAAGGTTGTAAACAGATCTAAACATTTGAAGGATGTAAAATGAGCTCAATTCATTTTCTATGAGGAAAAAAATTGCAGAAAAGGCTAAACATTTCAAAAAGCTAAAGTTGCACCAATACCAACAGTCATAGCAGGATTGTCCTGAAAAAGCTGAATGTTTTATTAGTGATTTGTTGAAATAACTTGAAAACTGCTGGACGAGAATCGCGCCGAAAAACGTACGGAAGAAAAATGGATCACAGTGTGAACGCTTCATAAACGTTCACACTGTTAAAGAACTGGAGATCACATCCTCAAACACTTGCTCCTGTTTTTAAATTAGTTTTGATTGATGTTACATTTATGTCATTGTAGCTTATATTTTTTAATTTTGGCAGGATTGAATTTATATGCACATGTTTTACTTTTGTCTTTTATTCATAGTATTTTTGTATTTGTGCATTACATGTCTCTGTGGCAAATCCTCTTTTCTCAGTTAGACTAACATGTATAAATCAATGAAACTAAATAAAATCATTAGAATATTTTTTCCCAAAGTTTTTTTTTATCCTGTTTAGAAACAGATCAATCTCTCATTCCAGCCTTGCCACCCATCCCAAACACTGACCACCCCAGAAGCAGAAAAAACTCTAAACAGCTCACCGACTCATCTCCAGATCCCAGCAAAATATACAGCGAGGTAAGGAAGAAGAAAATGAAGATGGCCGACGAGCAAAAGTTCCTGGAAAAGAGACTGGAGCGCCTGGAGCAGCAGATCAGTCAGTGCCAAACGTCGTCAAAGCAAAGGTCTTCTGCAGGTAGAGTGCAGGGAAAACTGCAGAGGGACACATAGATGGAAAACAGATGCAGTGAAATAAGTTCTGATCATTCCAGCATGACAAGAAAACCTTATTTGTGTGAATTATAAATGTATGTGTACATCTCTCTGTACATTAGCATGATTTAATGGCTGTGAACGTCTTCTGCTGTGACTGCAGGCAGCCAGACAGAGCTGCAGAGTTTGAGACAACAAGCCCAGGAGCTGGTGGATGAAAACGACGCCCTGAAGTTGACAGCTCATCGTCTGAGTGTGGAGCTGAGCCGCTACCAAGCTCGCTTCAGGCCATTATCCAAACAGGAGGTATGACAAATAACCACAGTGAGAGATGAGATAATCTCACCAAATATAGTCAAAATCTCAATCTGATTAGGAATTATATTATTTCCAGCCTGACTGTAGAGATTAGATCATATCTGTTTATCCACTTCCTGGCAGGGATTGTGCTGTAGATCTTTCACTAATAATGAATCTGCCTGTTTGACCATCAATTTACCAGTAGTCGGTGGGTTTTTAAGGGTGAATTAATCTCAGATATCTTTGATTGACAGCCCCGCTGAGCAAAAACAAGTTTTCTGTTTGTTTCTTCAGTTTGATTTGTTGAAGCTAATGAGCTTCCCATCACTGTCTGTGTCTGCCTGTTCCATTCGGTCCATGCTGTTGTATTATTTTATTCTGCAGATAAAAGCCAACCTGTGCTTTTAATCATGGCTGCCACCTGCTGCTTTGTTCACGTCAGGAGTTTTCTGGCTCTCAGCGCTGGCGGTTTGCTTCCTCTGTAGCGGCGTGTCATTAGGGCCAGCCGAGGTGGAAAGGAAAGATAAAGGACAAAGAATTTTGACAAGAAGTTTACAGTTGAATAATGCCGTATAAGTTTAGGCAAGTTAAACATGAATATATATATATATTAAATAGATGATGTACATACTATATATGTGTGAGTGTATTCTAATCTTTGGTCTTTTTTTTAATTTATTTAAACTGGGACACTCTTTCACTCGTTATTCTACAGAACTGAATCAGAGTCGAAGTGAACTCTGTTTACATTGTTTGCATTGCATTTAGACGTAATGTTGAAATTATGTTTTATTTTATTTTCTGTTTCTGTCCATATTTCATCCAGACTTCAAAAATCAGTGTTTTACCAAAGACGGGTTCTCCTCCTCCATGGCTGGTGAGTATCTAAATACATCACCACAATGCATAACTTCACTTACTGTTTGTCTGTAACTAGATTTGACCAGTCTTTTTTAAACTGGTGTAAAATATTTAAGTTTAGGATTTGACTCAGTAGATCATGAAAATAAATCCTACTTACCATCGAGGCTTGAATGAAGATAGTCTTTTTTTAAATCAAGTTCAAGTTTCTTTGTCATTCACATCACATGTGGTACATGAGGTGGAACAAAATTGTGTACCCAAGGTCCCAGTTACATCCAAAAATAGCAAAAATATAAAGTATAGAAAGAAACAGTATAAAAGGATCTAAGATATACACTAAAACTAAAGCTAAACAATACGCTAAAAGATCTAATAGACCGTATATGCTAAACACTAATAATGTAAAATAATACGGTATATTAAACAGCAGCCCGAACATGAGTCTGTGGTGAGCAGATGGATATGAATGAATACAGCAGCATAAAGGCAAGAGATAAAGGCATAAACATTAAAATGAAAAAATACTCATGGCTTTTTTTTGCTAGTTTGTACAATTTTTTATTGTTCTTGATTCTAGCTGGATGTGAAGAATTTATGCCCTTTGCTGCTGGCGTATGAAGACAGGATGGATGAAAAGGATGCACTTCTGCAATCCACGGAGGTGAAGTTTTTTTGTTTATTTTAGAAATCGTGTTCTTTTATTCAAATGTACAGTGCATCAGGAAAGTATTCACAGCGCTTCACTTTTTCCACATTTTATGTTACAGCCTTAATCCGTATAAAATTAATCTCTTTCCTCAAAACTCTACACACAATAATACCTCGTTATGAAATCATCAGTCTCATTGAGCCTCAAGGACTCATTTACAAGAGAGACCTGTTTTAAACAAAGAACACAAATAACAACAGCAGACTATCATAAAAAAGCATATAAAATGAAAAGGGAAGAAATTATATACCAAAAACAGCTACATTATAAAGCAATATAAAATACTAAAAAACAGGAACATATCTGCTTTTTTGCCATGAACTTAAGAGTTGTTTGAAATCCCTTAGAGAGGTCCAGGTCGAGAGCTTCAAGTGTTTTTGCAAGATATTCCAGGAAACAGGAGCAGAGTAGGAGAAGGCCCTTTTGCCAAGTTCAGTCCACACTGAGGGAACACTGCAGGTAATAATGTCCTGAGAGTGCACGCTGTAGCTGCACTCACACAGAGACATGTAGGAGGAGATGTATGGAGGCAGCAGACCATGAAGTGATTTAAAGATGAAAATGTATCAGTGGGAGAGTCTGTATTAAGTTAATGATGACCAGTTAACCAGTGAATACAGGGTGCAGTGGTGGGTACGGTAGTTACAGCCAGTTATGAATCTTGGCACACCATGATAGACAGCATCCAACATCTGCAGGGTTCTTGTAACGTTCATGTAAATAATGTCACCGTAGTCAATGGTGGGAAGGAAAGTCGCAGTTACAAGGTGTTTCCTAGTATTCAGAGCTCATACGACTAATCATAACCCTTTTGCTTTGCCTCTGCTACCTCCCTCTTTGTTCTACGTTGCATCTCCTTATATTCCTGTCTCCTCTCTTCAGTCCTCTCACTGTCATATTTCTTCTTGGCTAACCTCTTTCTTTGAATAACGTCCTGCACTTCACTATTCCACCACCAGGTTTCCTTATCATCCATTCTCTGTCCAGATGACACACCAAGTACCTTCCTACCTGTCTCTCTAATGACTGTTGCTGTAGTAGCCCAGGCATCTGGAAGCTCGTTCTTATCACCCAGGGCATTTAACAGCTCCTCTCTGAATTTGTCACAACATTCTTCCTTCTTCAGCTTCCACCATTTGGTCTTCTCTCATTTGACTCTTTTTCTCTTCTTCACAACAACAGTCATTCTACACACAACCATCTGTTGCTGTCTGGCCACGCTCTCCCCTGCAACAATCTTACAGTCTCCCATCTCCCTCAGGTTTCATCTTCTACCTGCGTACTCCTACCTCATTAATTGCGGCGCTTATCTACTGCCAACTTTGGAAAAAACTTATAGGTGATTCACAAATTTACATGATGATGTGTAATAACAAGGCTAGCTTGGAGCTAACAGCTAACAGGCCTTCAGCCAACAAGCATAATACCATGAGCAGGACTAACTTACAGTTAAATGTTAATTAACATTTGTTGAGTAAGATGAGACTATCACAGGATACCTCCTTCAGATGCCTAATGTGGAAAAAAATGTCATCAAAATTAACATTTAACACAAGCCAAGCATGGAGCAGCTAACAAAAGCCTTTGAACTTAGCAGAATGCTCTTACACATTGCTCATAAGTCGAATTCTAATCTTGAAATATTTGAATATTCATTAATTAGGATAAGAATTATATAATCATTCACTGACGGATTCCTTAGAAGTAGCAGGATGAGTAATGGAGGACCCTTCCTCCTTCCAATGCCTAGGCATCAGTCATTCATCATGTATCGTTAAAACAATAATTAGATTATTGTATTTTTTCCTCCTATCACCACCTTTAAATGGCTTTCAAAATAAACACACTGCATGAACAGTGCACATTGTTAACAACCAATACTGTAGTGTAAGCAGTAACTATTTTCTCCATTTTAACAGTACTTTCAACGGCTCTAAAGAATCGAAGGGTCATCTTCACCCGTGAGGACGCCGCAAACCTCAACACACAAAATGTTAAAGGTCTAAAATAAACACGTCTGATCAGATGAAGCACAGGGTTCTATGTCAAGAACACCATAATACAGAAAAAAACATATTGACCAAAAAGGAAACTTAACTCTGAGCAAAAAAAAAAAAAAAAAGAAATACTAAGAACTACATGTATGTCACCTCTGCAAAGAAAATATAACAGCTTCTAAAGCTACAAGGTATTTGGCGGTGATCACAGTTAAATTCAACGTAAAGAAAGCGGAGCTGGGGAGGAGACAGATGCCTAAAACAGATCCAGGATAGAAACTTTAAGACAAGGGGAACAGCTATGGTTTGATACAACAATAAACATCCAGTCATCCAATCATAGAGTCAAGGATTTGATTTTGTTTTGATATGCTAGGCTTAAAACCATTATTTGTTCCATTAATTTAGGGACGGCTGTGGCTGAGTGGTTAGAGCAGTCGTCCTCCAATGCGAGAGCTGGGGGTTCGATTCCACCAGCAGTTTCATGTTTAAGTGTCCCTGGACAAGACATTGAACCTCTCATTGCCTCCGATGTGTGTCCCATCAGTGCATGAATGTGAAAAAGCACTGATTATCCAGATGACTCAGATGATCTTTGTACATATATAGTAGAGTGCTGTATGAATGGGTAAATGAGGGCACACATTGTAGTGTAAAGCACTTTGAGTGTCTTGACTAGATAGAAAGGTACAGTCCATTCACCATTTAAAACAAGTGTTTGTCCTGAAAATAAAACATTTTCTTGTCTGTTATAGGAGGAAGTGAAGAAGTTGAGAGTTCATGCAGAGGAAGTGATCAAAGAAAATGAGAGGCTTCATGAGGAAATGGCTAAGATTAATGTGGACAGCCAGAAGGACTGGTAAGAACTAGTATGTGTGGGGTGGGTTAGTGCTGTCAGCTATCGGCACTTATTATAAATAACAAATGGAGAGTTTTCAAAACCTCTGCATCTTTTACTGTTCCTTCATTATGCTTTGAGCGTTTGCATACATTAACATCCAGATTATTGAATGACTGCTTTGACTATTAGACCCCTGAACATTGAGCAGTGACTGGCCACCATATTATTATGACACCACAGCATCAAATAAAAACAGACATTTTGTTGCAACCATTTCACTGGGGATCAAGAAAACAAAGAGGCAGACAGGTTGCAAACTATAGTTCTGAGTAATAGTTCGATGAGTGATCAGAAACTTTTTCAGTGTTAGAAGCTCTGTTTCTTAGCCAGTTTGGCTACAAACTATAGGAGGATATTATATTATCTCAGTGCTTAAAGATTCAAACAGACAAAAAATGAACAACTCACTATAAGTTTCTCTTTTTTTCTCTCCACAGTCAACAACTTCAGCAACAGGCCTTCTTGGTTTTGCAGGAGAACCAGGTTCTGACTGATCAGCTGGAGGCTCAGCATGCTAAGGCCAAGGCCAGTCACGGCAGACAACAATCTGAAGGTGCTGTGAAGCTGAGAGGAATGTGAAAATAAATAAAGGAATTAAAGAGTGAAGGAAAATACTCAGCTCTGCTTTGATCATAACTCTGTTCCTCCTCTCATTCTCCTCTCTGTAGTTACAAAAATGTCTAAACAGACTATGTTGTTGGAGGCAGAGACACAGCGTTTGCAGGAGGACCTAGAGGAGAGCAAAAAGGAGGCGCAGCAACATGCAAAGAAAATTCAGGTTCTGCAGGCCAACCTGAAGGACGCCGTCACCTGGGACGAACACTGCAGCATTACTGGGAAACTCAGAAGGTGATCTGCAGGCTCCGATTTGAGTGAATATTTTAAACGGTTTTATTGTGTGAATGTTTATGAAGCATTCACACTATTGTGATCCATTTTTCTTCCTTACGTTTTTCATCCTGCAGTTTTCAAGCGATTTCAACAAATCATCAAAATGTTCAACTCTTTCATTGGTGCAACTTTAGCTTTTTGAAATATTTAGCCTTTTCTGCCACTTTTTCCTCATAGAAAATGAATTGAGCTCATTTTACATCCTTCAAATCTTTAGATGTGTTTACAACCTTTTACTGCTCCTTTCACATTTTATACTGGTTCAGCTTCTTTCAGCTTCCTTGTGCAAATTTAAACTTTTTTCCAGCTACTTTTAATTAATTTCAGCTGTTTTTTCAGCTGTTTTGTGCTCCTTTCAGATTCTTTCTGCTAACTACAACATGTGTGCTTCTTCTAACTTAATTCTACTAACTTCAGCTTATTATGCTTCTTTCAACTTTTTTATGCAAGTTTCAGCTTTTTCTGCCATTTCAGCTAGTATTTAGCTGTTTTATGCTAATTTTAGCTTCTTCTCTTTTTAGATAATTCCACATTTTTTGCACTTGTTTCAGACTTTTTAAGCCTAATTCAGCACAAATGTGCTCTCTCCAGTTCCTTCTGGTAAATTAGGCTTCTTTCTGCTTTTTAGCTACTTTTCAGCTGTTATTTTTATTTATTTTTCAATTTATTTAGCTAATTTCAGCTTTTTTCAGATAATTTTCACTTTTTTGTGCTCATTCCTGCTTCTTAAAGCCTAATTGGGCAAACGTGTTCTTTCTACTTTATTTTGCTAATTTAAGCTTGTTCTACCTTTTCAGCTTTATTGCCTTTTTTAGCTGATTTCAGCTTTTTTCACATAAATTCAAGTTTTTCGTGGTAATTTCTGCTGCTTTCAGCCTAATTAATTTATTTCTGCTAATTTCATCTTGTGCTCCTTTCAGTTTTTTCAGCTATTTCAGCTAGTATTTAGCTGTTTTCTGTTAATTTAAGCTCTTGCAGCTAATTCATTTTTTTAATAGCTCATTTCAGCTCTTTTTGTTTCTTTCTGGTATCTTAAGCTTCTTTTTGCCTTTTCAGCTACTTTTCAACAGGTTTTTTTGCACTAATTTCAGCAGTTTTAGCTAATTTCCTAAGTTTTGTGCTCATTTTGCTTTTTTAAATCTAATTCAGCAAATATGTATTATTTCTGCTTTCTTATGCTAATTTAGGCCTTTTTTCAATTTCAGCTACAATTCAGCATGTTTTTAGCTAATTTCAGCTGTTCTTCTGCAAATTTTTCAGCAATAAGCATTCGCAATGCATTTTTGCAGGAAATGCAGTTTCTCTAGTTTTATATTTCTGCTCTGCTTTAAAGGGAGAGCAGAGAACAGTTTAAACAATCATTCTCACTGGCTGCACGTTTGATCAATAATATTTCACTTAATAACTTCTGGTAATTTGTTGCAGAAAGATAAGACAAGTAGAGAAACCACTGTAACACCTAAAATGTTGCATTATTTCTATCCTGACAAGCAATGGGATGAATTTATTCAATAAGTTTCATACTCAAAGAAATCAGAGAGGTAGTTATGAATTTTGATCAAAATTTCAACAATCAGATAAAGTCTGTTGTTGAACGTTACTTTTATTTGAGGCAGGTTGGGTCAGTGCATCTGCCATCCTGTTTACAGATGGTTCAAAATGCACCTTTTACCGGCACAAGATCTCTTCTTCACATTACACCTGTTTTTAAAATCTCTCTGTTGGTAGCCATTTTAGTTTAGAGTCTATTTTAAAATATTCTATTAGTTTTTAAATCTTTAAATGGTCTTACCCCTCTTTATGTATTTGAGCTCCTACATCCTTACTATTCTCTAAGGTCTGCTGATCGGTAGCTCCTGATTGGACCAAAAACTATGTGTGAGCTTAGAGGGGGCCGGGCTTTTGGGATGCTGGCTCCTAAATAATGGAACAAATGACCTTTGCACATTAAACAGGGCTCAAGCCCAGGTTGTATCAGGAAGGACATCTGGCGTGGTACGGTGGTGACCCCTGCAAGGAGCAGCCAAATGAACATTAGACAGGCATCCTCATCTATTTTTCAATCTTCTCTTCAAACTAATTTGTATTCTCCCACTTTTGTTACCTGTTAGGTGTTACTTTTTTGATTTTATTGTTTTATTCTTTTCTCTTTTATTTCTTGTGTTATTGAACTAGTTGTACATTTGTTTATTGCATTGCACTGTGAGACATTAACCATCAAAGCATTTTCTTTTACAACAGAGAATAAACATAAATATTAGGGATGTTCCGATCAGGTTTGTTGCTGCCAATCACCAATATCTATCACGCGTGGTGCTGATCATCAATACCGATCACATAGGTTGGCTGTAAATTTCTTGATTTAGTTGAGTGCTACTTGCTACGTGATCTGGAAAATAGGAACCATGAAATCACCTTAATTTGGACAAAAACAGCTTTTTATTTATTTTTTCCATCCATCCATTATTTTTTACCCGCTTCTTCCTTTTTGGGTCACGGGGGTCACTGGTACATATCCAGATTTACTTTTTCAAAACAACAACTAGATAAAACTTGCAGGCACAATTCAGCAACTGTTCAGTCAAAAGGACAACTGAAAAACACTTAAATGCTCTCAGTAACAGAATCATTGAAAACATTAGTCAATAGGCTAAATAATGCAGAAAGTCAAATAAATCTCAAAACATTGCTTAAATGTATTTACCTCCGGACCTCTGCAGGCTGCAAAGGTGATCCTTTTATGTTATCAGCACTGAAAGGTATTGATCGGTATCAGCCAATCACATACTTTTTAACGGAAATCGGCGGATCGACCGGAACATCTCTAATAAATATACCTGTGGACTAAACAAAAATCACACACTGGATTTAGATATGAAGTATTTTTTAAACTCTGTAAAGCTATTGTCTTTATTTTAAAGACATTTGTTTTAAAATAAAAAACAACAACCAAGTTTCTCCAGTGTCATGAAGGTGAACTCTCTTTAAAGCAAATCTTAATTTTATTGTGCATGTTTATTTTATCAGATAGTTTGGTCTAAAATGCACAGCATTTTGTTCCATTTAGGAGTTTTAAAGGGCTTTATAAGTAAACTAAGTTGAATTGATAAATGCATGTTTCTTATTTTAATACTACTTGTATTAAACAGGTTTGATACAACACTGTATCATTATTTTGACGCTGTACAAAATAAGTGAATAAAAGTAGTAACGACTGATTTAGACACAGTGTAATGTGCACCAAGAACACTGAAACAATAAATACTGTGACAAGTTTGAATGTATTTTCTTAAGTTTTGTTTGCCAGAAGTTGGGTTTTGATGCGTTGTGATGTATTCTCGTCACATGCAGGCAGCTGGAGCAGGAGGAGAGCAGAAGCAGGAGTGAAATGGAACGGCTGCTTCGGAGAGTGTCCAGCCTACAAGAAGACAACAAGAGTCTGGCTCTGGACAAAAACAAGCTGACTGCTGATGTTGAAACACTGGAGGCTGAGCTGCAGCGCTACAGAAGAGCTCAAAGGTAGGAAATAATATTAAATATGCTCACACATGAAGCCTGAGACATAAAAGAAAAGCATATTAATTCACAATTTCATTAGCACAGTAGTCCCTCGCTACTTTGTGGTTTGACTTTCGCGGACTCGCTGTTTTGCGGTTCTTTAAAGTAAGAGTGGACATGACACACTTGGCTGACTGATGGATGAGTCGCACGATCGGCATGGATTGTTTATTTAAAATAAATTATTTTTAATGATTTAGCACCTGCTAAATCATTAGATGCAGGGAGAAGCTCCCTCTGTCATGATCTCGGCTCTCTGCCACGCCCACATTTCTCCTCCACGATGCAGCAGCTTTGTGAAGGGTTAACCCTTTGCTGTCCAGCTGCACTGATCGACTTTTGTCTTCCAACTTCAAATTCAAAGTACGTCACATCGTAAAATCATCATAATCACAAATTATTAAAATGTTCAAAGTTATTTTAAGTATTTTAGAACTTCTATGTTCAGTTGTTTCAGTGTAATTGATCAAGAAGTACATTTCTGCTCTGTGCTGCGGAGCTGCATGAAGGGTTAACCCTTTGATGTCCTGCTGCACTTCTCTTCTCTACAATTTAAATTTAAATACTGTAATATTTTAAATAAACAATCCATGCTGCATGGCAGCCAACAGAGGTCACATGACATGTGGTGCTTGTTTAGAATATTGCAACAGTGTGGGCAGGGTTTATAAAGCCTTAATATATACATAAAGACTAAAATAAACTACTACTACTTGTCTTTTTATATTGAGCATTGAGCATGCATCAGGATACTACTACTTGTGTACATAATTTTGTTCCATCTCATGTACCACATGAGATGATACTGCAGTGCTTCTCAATTATTTTCAGTTATGCCCCCACTAGGAAGAAGTAAACATTTCGTTCCCCCCCGCCCCCCCAACTCTCCGCCGCGACTTTAAATAGTATTAATTGTTTATAAAATTGTTATAAGTACACCTCTGCATAACGTATCCTTATTAACATTAAAATAAAAAAAATATATAGATCAACTTACAACAAAGAATAACTTTATTAACATTGTTTTTTTAGTCTGTAACAGAAACGACTTAAAGTGCATTAATTTGCCTGAAAAAAAAAACAAATCCTTTTTTAAACTGTAAACATTTTTGACCATTTGATACTGAACAATAAAATATAATCAATAAATAATAATAAATTCAAATTGATCAGCAACATTTTAACTTAGGAGTGTTATATAAAACACTTTGACCTAAAAAAATAATGAATAAAACAATTTGTGCTGATTTTTTAAAACTCAAAATGAGGAAGTCAGGATTAATGGCTACAGTGAGCACACTCATCGGTAAAACAAAAACATTTTGTCAATGTGAACGAGGAAAGAGGGGGCAGGTGTCGAATAGAGTCCTAACATTTATTAAACATTACTTCTGTAAATTGTGCTTTGACAAACTCATCGATAAAACTAAAACATTTTGTCACAGCAAAAGAGAAAAGAGGGGGCAGGTGTCGCTCTCGCGTTGAGTTTACTCTTTGTTGCCTTCGTGCTGTGGGTGACCTCCAGAGCGCATGGACATAAAACACATGCAGCGGAGGTGTCCGAGTTCATTTATCGTCTCAGCAGCAGGGGGGGCGACACGGTTCAAGCATGGCTCCCCAAACGACAAGGCAGTCATATTTGTTCTTGTAAACCTGAGAGATACGAGCAAACAGCTGCCGGAACGCACGCAACAAAATGAGAATGGTGAGAAAAGAAAACTACTCCCTGCACACCCCCTGACATCGCCCCGGGTTCCTCTAGGTGGGTGCGCCCCACTATTTGAGAAGGACTACTGTATCCCTACGTCACGGTTTTTCACTTTTGGTGGGGGCGTGGTCCCCTAACCCCTGTGATCAACTACTGTAATGATGAGGTCAAAGTGTACAGCAGCAGAGCCTGAGCCTGTTTATTCTCACATATTTTAAGTAATTTCTATCTAGTAATGAAGACTGTGTAAGTTATAAAGAGTTACGTTAAATCTTGTGTACATGTGAAAACAAATGTGACTGAAATATAATTTTTGACCACTTTTACCTTTTTCAGAGAAGAAATCCTCAGAATTGACCAAATCCCCTTCTTTAAAAACTGTAAGCAGATTTATAATGAGCCGAGCATCTTATTTAATATTTATATTCTTGCTTTTTTCTGGTAGCCATACGGTAATTATCCAACAAAGTTAAGCCAGGCCGTCTGGACGGTTTCTTTTTTTGTTGAAACGTTTTGTCTTTCATCCAAAAGACTTCTGGTTGACCCCACTATGTGAGTGTGCTGCTTATGGGACTGTTTGTTGTGGCTCCTCAGACTGATGAAGTCCTTTGGATGAACAACAAAATGTTTCAACACAATAAAAATACATTCAGAGGACCTGACTTAACTTTGTTGGATTTTTTTTTACCTTGATTATTGAGCATGAACTTTGATATACGGTAATTGGTTTTTCAATGTGTGGCATGAATTTCAAGTACGGTAGTTTTTTAGCTGTAAAAACCAGTGGTTTAAGCTGAAACCTCTTTATTTTCTGCTGCTTTGTATAGTTTAGGTAGAGCTTCTTTCATTAACAACAAAGTGACTGAATAATAAATTAAACATGTTTTTGTCAACCCCAGGAAACAGATAAGTTTTGTAAAATAAATAAGCAATAAATGTTTATTTTACACGTTCAGCATGATTTTAATCCTTTTCACCTTCTTTCAACTCTGGCTGCTGGTGGACGTAATGAGCCTTGATATTTCTAATATTAATGAGTTCTAATATTAATGAGTTCTAATATTAATGAGTTCCATCCTGCTTCTTTTTCTCAGAAACACTGTAAAATTCAAAATGTGTCCAAAGTCTCGCTTTCAGGCCAGAGCTGTTGATATTTCATCATGAATTTGTATTTTTATTTATCGTTTTGCTGCTTCACATGGATGAAACTGCAGATTCTGAAAGTTTAGGAGCAGCTTTCATAAAAAATAAAATAAAAAAAAAAAACCAGCAAAATGTTTTTATTAAAACGTCCCACACATCTAACTATTCACGCAATCAGGTGTTCTCATTAGTTTTCTCTTGAATTGTTCTCATGTTACCAGAACACTGAGTACACTTTAGGTCTGATCACACACAGGGTTTAAAACGTCAGGGTTTTACCTCACATTTTGAACATTGATGAACAATTACTAATAATATAAAGAATAGAAGAAAAACAGGTCTTTTCGAATGTGGCTGATGACTGCTAGTTAATTTTCATTTTTTACGGGAGCTGTTGTAAAGTCTTCTCTGCTCTGGATCCTTGCTCTGCTCCCAGCGGAGCTCCTCTGACTTTAATGGAAAGTTTCTCATTCTGAAGTGTGAAAAATGTCAGAAGGTGTTGAATTACTCATTATTGTTTTCACCCTGTGTTCAGACGGCAGTGTGTCAAGATTTTCTGCACTTTAATCTTTGTCTCTTTCTCTTGTCCTCAACCACTCTGTATTGTAGCGTTTTTCACTTTTCTTTCTTTTTGTGTTACACAGTTCCTCCTCTTTCTCATTGTATTTCCTTCTCCTTCTAATTTATTTGTTTTTTCCTATTGACAACCTCTGTCCATCATTTAGGAAGGCTGAGAGGAGGACGAGCACGTTAAAGAGACAAAATGACGAGTGTATCTTGAAGGAGGAGAAGACTCGACATTACCTGGGAGCTGTCGTTTCTGTGGCTGAGCACATTTCCAAGGAGAGAGACCAGCTGTTGCACGTGGTACTACAGATGTTACTTATGTACTTACTGTATGTACTTACTGTATGTATCTACTGACGATCAAAATCAGTGCGATCAGTCTTCTCATTAGTTTCTTACATGGACCATTTACCAAAAAGCATAGCATTCCTTGAAACAATGCATATCACTCCCCATCACCTTTCATGTTGGTGTTTTAAAGCAGTGGTTCCCAGTCCTGGTCCTTGAGGAACACCATCCTGCATGTTTCAGTTGTTTCCTGCTCCAACACATCTGATTCAGTGATTTAGGTACTTTCTCATGTTCTGCAGAAGTCTGTTAATCACCCATTCATTTAACTTCCTAGGACCTGGCATCCACATGTGTGGACAACCTGGCATCCACTTATGCAAGAGTTCGGGTCTTAGGATATTAAATCAGATGTGTCAAAGCAGGGAAACAACTAAAACAACAGGATGGTGTTCCGCAAGGACCAGTGTTGGGAACCATTGTTTTAAAGTAAGATCACCCCAGGCTGAGAAATGATGGAGTTCTAGCCATTTTGGTCAAACCTTGAAAATAATGTTATGAGTAATTTTACAATATGTTTAGCAGAGTATGTACTGTAAATGAACACATGAAAAATCTTACTTGATTTGTTCATGCTTTACTTTACTGTTGGTTGTGACTCTCAGCTACTACCGGACCCAAATTTTAGGTTAATTCTAGCAAAGTTGACAGAGTTGTAGCCATCTTTGTGGGTTTTATGTGTTACACAGACCTGGTAGGCAAACTAATGCACAGATACAGGCAAATATATTATTTCCTTTAACCTTCAGCGGCAGGCGATGAAAGCAACACAAAATGATTTACCATGTCAGATAAGGTTGTATCTCATATATGTTGAGGAGCTACTGAATAATAAGGAGCTTTGCACCTTCTGGCTGAATTCATATTGGAGATAAGCACCAGCTCACTGGTGACCCAGAAAGAGAAAGCGGAAAAAAGAAAATGGATGAATATATGGATGTCTATACTTAGTAAATATTTCACTCTGATAAGTGACATTTCAATGGCTTACAGCAGGACTTCATTTGCTTTGAATTCAAAAGATCTCTTCATTGTTTGCCCAACTGCATCTATCCTTGCTGTGAAAAAAATGACTAATAATCTCAGCAGGCACAAAATAAATTCTCAAAACTTTCCATTTTAGTAGGAAGATTAGTCGAATACATACAGCACATATCAATGGATATATATATATATATATATATATATATATGTTTCTTTTTAGAATTCTTTATTGATAGAAAGAATTTAAAAAATAACCTTTTCAGGAGAAACGTAAACAACATGAAGAAAACATGTCAAGAATTCCTGGGCTGAACCTTAGCTTTAGGTATGATTCAGCTGCAAACTGCTGCCCTAATCCCCCCAGATTATTTGTGTTTATGTTAGTAAAGATCATCATTGATGATGTTTGGAAAAGTTTTCTGTGCAATAGATTTCCAGCTCAGGAGTTTTTCTACATTTTTCGGTAAAGGCAGTGTATTTATACGATGGAGCTTTAGGGCCACGCTAAGAAAAAAAAAATTTAAAAGCCACAAAATTACGAGAATAAAGTCGTACAAGATTTTTTTTTTTTCAGTTCTTGTTTATTTTTTTTTTTTTTTTTTCCACGAGTCAGCTCCACGATGCGACCTGTCAATCAGTCCAGTAGGCGTGTCAGCAAATGACCAATCCAAAGCTAAATGCTCCTTACCTGCAGAGAGCTGCTGCAGCCCATCAGAGCATACCACCTTACTGTAAACAGGTTCAATGTCCTGATACTGATAATAATCTGATGCTGATGTGCTAACAGATTAACTATCTCCTTATTTGTAAAACCAATACCAAAGTATAATTTAACAAGATGCTCAACATTCTTCATTTTACCACAGTTAAAATGTGGTAAACCCTGATTTATCTTGTCAGAGTTCGGATAATATTACGACTCATTTAGCTTCAGATTGGTCATTTGCTTGGCCCTAAAGCTCCGTCGTACATTTACACCAATAATGGGGCTCAGGTATTAATTATTAACAAATATGTAAGCTACGTCACACATTTTAATTTGTTTTTTAATAATTAACATTCCTGTTTCACAGTATAATAGACACAAACCACAGATGGACCAGCAGTAAAAAAAAAATTTTTTTAAATTTCCCAAATATAAACTTTCAAATATAAAACAATTTTTTACCACTAGAGGAGAAAAGAAGTGATTCATATTTTAACTTGTGTTTTATTTGCTGCGATTTTAGCCCTGTGATAGGAAGGTTGGGTTCCTGTCAAGAGATCAGGGGTTCAATCCCCAGTTCCTTCATAATCCCACAATGGCCTCAAAATGCTTGTAACTGTATGAGACTTTAAAGGTTTTTATAAAGAGAGTGTAACTGTACTGAAAAATGTTCTATTTATATGTCAACTATAAATTGATATTAGTTTTCTTCATTTTTTGTTTCCAAATTTGTGTCCTCTCCTCCACTTGTTTCTTTGCTAGCTCAGTAACCCTCCATCTTCCTTGTGTCCGTCCCCAGGCGTCCGTTCTTCAGCAGGAAAAGCAAGGATTTGTCAGCAGCATTCTGAAGGGCACAGTCCGATTCAGCAAACTCCAAGACGAGATCAAAGTGAGTTTCTTTTATTTTATGTTTGTTTTGTTCTGATATAATCCTTTTATTATATAAGCGTTATGTTTCTGGATCTACTAGCTTTCATAAATGATAAAAATTAGACATAAAATCAAGAACTTCCATATTTTCTGCTCCAAACAAGAGCAGAGTAGCTCATGCCCTAAGGCTGTTTCATGCTGCGCAGGCTACTTTGATCCTAACTCCGGATGCTGTGTCACTAATCAATCCACTTGTGGGTCCAGCAGGGATCTCTACTTATATTTAAGTTTTTGTTTTCTTCATTTTGCTCAAGATAATATTAATGTGTAATTGCTGTTGATCAAGCACTTTGATTTACTCAATGAAAACTCAAACTGATGGTGTCTCAGCGTTACCTCTCAGTCTGAGTTCATTGACTTCAGTTTCAGAATAAACTCCGTACACTGTTCAACGTAAAGCAAAAACAAGCATAAAGATAGACATGTATTAAAACAAATGAGAGAAATAAGGATTGTATGAGCCCTATTTTATTCCCTGTGTTCCCAGAGTGCCCATTTCATTCTGCTACCAGTCTGTTTTAGTGAGTCATTAGGATTTTTGCTGCTAAGACTTTTCTTTGTTTGTGCCTTTAATGTTGCGGACTCTGCTAGTGGAGTCGTTTTTGTTACAAACCAGTTAATGCCACATTTTTTTTCAGTGGGAAATCATAATCGTCTTTCCATGAGTGTTTAAATAAAGTGTTTGAATTTCATTTGCTGATATGCAGAGAATACACCAGTCTTTGTGCCAAACAGACAAGATTAAAATAGTGTCGCTTGAACAAAACAAGTACTTGTCTGTCTATTTATCTGCAATGTAATTGTTCTTGAACGTTCTTAAGCAAAACTGAAAATAGTTTTAATTTGGTCTTAACTGGTTGTATTGCTCCTCACTTTCTTTGACAAGTTAAAGCACCGATAGCACCCTCTTTAAAACGAAAAGGCTGTTTTAAGTCATTATTGTAAGCCTCACTAAAGGTATTTAAAGTGCAGTGTTGCTCGAAAATGTTCTTGCTAGCTAGCAATAATTAACCTTAGCTAAAAAAATATATATATATATGCTTAGGCTTCAGAGTGCAGTAGAGGAACTTTAGATGAGTCATTAACAGATTATTGTTTTTTATTGTTGTTAATAGTTTGTGAGGCAGCTGTGGCTGAGTGGTTAGAGCAGTTGTCCTCCAATGGGAAAGTTGGGCGTTCAATTCCACCACTATCCAGTCATGTGTTCAAGTGTCCCCGGGCAAGACCCTGAATCCTTCGCTGTTTCTGATGTGTGTCCCATCGATGTATGAATGCGATCTAAAAGCACTGATTAGTCTCTAAAGATTTTTTTTTTCATTCATTCAACCTTTAGTTATACAGGTTAATCCCATTGGGCCTCAGGGACTCGTTTACAAGAGAGACCTGAATTAATTTGATTTGTTCAGATTCTCTTTGCAGAGATGTAGTGGAGGTAAATGGGGCAGATTTTGTTGTAAAGTGCTTTGAGTATCTTGATTAGAAAGGCAAAAGGTGTAAGTACAGTCAATTCACCATTTAATTCAAACTAAATATTATAGCGTTTAAAATTTTTTTTTGATTTAGCATATTTTGACTATTAAATTAGCTGTCATAGTTGTATGTAGATTGGACTCTTGAATGTAGACAAGCACAAGAAGCTCAAACAAAATAAAACCTAATTTTATATTTTTAACAAAACAAAAGGCTGTTTTGGCAGCAAACACAAAAACAGAGTCAGACCCAGTGAAGTACTGGGAGACTTGGGGGGAACACTGGAACTAGACCTGGTGGAACACACTATGCTCCACTGATAAGTGAGATGAAGCTGAGGATTTAAAAGGACTGGGGCCGATGAGACAAGTGGTTGCAGCTGTGACAAGTGAAACAGGAAGCGAGTGTAGATAGGCGTGGAAGGTTGTATGTCACGAACGGGTTTTGGATTCATTATAAGTCAGACACAGGAGTGCAAAAACAAGAACAGTTTTTATTATTAGCTGCTGGTTGCTAGATGGATGAGTCAGCGTCCAGGTGGGAGTTCAATCTTAAAGACAGAGAAATGAGTGACTTTGGCGAGGACGAGGAGGTTCTGCAGGTTACTGTAAAAGTCACTAACTTTCTCAGTCTGTAATTTGGCAGGTGCTGTTGTCGCGCTGGTGCCAGTGATGTCTGTCATGCAGAGTGAGCTGCAGCAGCGGAGCAGGCTGAAGCTATTTGTGGTCCATGGGGGCAAATCCTAATTCAGGGTCTGAGAAACATAGCAGGGGTCATGCACAGGAAAGCTGAGAGCGGAAGCCAAAGCCAAATCGTGATCCGTTAGGCGAAGTAATAGAAGGAGAAAGACAGGGTCGATACCGTGGTCAGAACAAAGAATTCAAATCCGAAGAGAGGCAGGCAAGGTGAGGAAACCGTGGGCGAGGGGTCAAGGCAAGGCAAGGATACAAAGCTATAGCGTGGAACAGGAACTATGATGGCTTCAAAATCAGGGACCATGGAAGGTTTAATAACTCGGCAACAAGGAAGTGAATGACTGGAGCTTAAATAGTGCAGATAACAGGTGCGTGGAATCAGGGCTGATTGATGTGGAGGAGTAAGGGAGGTGTGGCACGGAGTGACAGGAGCAGGCTTGAGGTGAGAGATGGGTGATAGGCAAAACAAAGCAGGGAAACAGAAACTATAGCATGAGGGACATAAACTATGGCATGAGGGGGCAGGTGACATGGGCAGGAGAACAGAGCATGAAGGCAGGAGTACGGCAGGATGGGCAGAAACATGGCATGAGGAGCAGAGGCGTGATCAGATGGGGGGGTCAGCGGGGGCCACTGACTATCACAGCCTACTTACTACTGATGTCACTGAAGCACTGCAGAGACAAGCAACAGTAAATATAAAACTAGTTAATGTTATGAAACTCATATCTCCCAACATCTGTAGTCGATATGTGGTGAAGATAAGGCTTTAGGATCATCTTCATTTCAGATGTATTTAAGTCCATTACTACCTACTAGTTTGTGGCAAAAAGTCAGAGTAAGAACATGGACCAACCAGTAAACAGAGAGCTTCACCTTACAACTCAGTTCCTTTTGTTACCACATTGGACCGGTACAAAGTCCACAATACTGCTGCAGCTGCACCAAACATTTCCTCTTTCACTCCTGAACAAAACCCTGAGATACTTAAACTCCTCCACTCAAGCCATATTTATGTATTTGAGGCATATTTGTGTGTTCAAGTCACTGGATATAAATTTTGATTCAAATGATAAAAGTAGCGTTTGTTCACTATATATTTTTGTCTCTTTTTCAAATAGAATAATTAATAATCCCTTAACTGAGGTGCAGCAAACAACCTAAAGCCCTTACAGCTACTGTATGTATACTGACAGTATGTCAACAGTTATTATATAACCTATTTCACAGGTGTTGACTTCTGTGTGCCTTTTTTCTACACATAAAAGGCAGCCTTTTCTCCGTTTTTTTAATCAGCTGAGACTGCAGCTAATGCCTAAAAACCACATTATGACTGTGTAAAACATAGAAACATAGAGAAAAAAAAATATTGAAGACTATAGTGAAGGAAGTAAAGATATCCTCTGTTAAAATATATAATTTAATAATAATTTCAGGATTAACAAAGGCCAAGACATGTCTTGAAATGTATCCAGCTAATACAAAGCATGTTCTGTTAGTTTCATCATTATATTATAACAGTCAACAGAAAGCCCAGAGGAAAAAGTCTCTCAAATGTCTGTGGAGACATTTACTGTAGAAGAACAGAAGCTGGATTTCAACATCAAAATTTCTGTAGGAAGAATAAAAGAAAAGAGAGTAAAGTGAGGACAAGTGATGGAAAATTACAGCAACTTCTGAAGCGTTCATCTGAACTGATGGAAGAACAGATGGTGGCAGCAGCAGCATGAACTCAGAAATGTTCAGGGACATTTTCTCTGAGTAAATCCCTTCTTCTAATCTCAGCAGAACGATGTCTTGCAACAAGATGAGATACTGTCTTTTCAAGCGGCGCTCTTATCAGAGACTTTTCTCTGGAGCATTTTCTCTGCCGAGACAGAGACCAACGATAAAAATGTATTGGGAAAAACTCAAAATTTACTGCTTGGAAAAAAGAAAAAAGCATTTCTGGTGTAATTTTTCTTTCATTTGTATGTCTTTGTTAGCTTCCTATCTTCATATTTACAGGTTTACTCATTGAACTGCCCCATTTTATAGACAACATCAAGTTTAAAGTCAGTGTCAACTTTAAAGGGTTTTATCTTGTGTGCAAATGCATTCTTAAAAAAATAAATAAAATGGCATCCCACTGATTTCATATTTCATTTGACAGTGTACAATAAATGGGAAGATACATAGATGCTTTTTTCTATTAAATTACTAAAAATCTGAATTTTGTAAAGTCATTTTCTTAGACAAGAGACATCCATCCATCCATCCATTTTCTTTACCCGCTTATTCCATTTTGGGTCACGGGGGTTGCTGGTGCCCATGTCCAGCAATCACTGTGCGAGGGGCGGGGTACACCCTGGACGGGTCGCAAGTCCATCACAGGGCCACATAGAGACAAACGAGACAAACAACCATTCACTCTCTCACTCACTCACACCTAGGGACAATTTAGAGTTACCAATCAGCCTAACATGCATGTTTTTGGACTGTGGGAGGAAACCGGAGTACCCGGAGAAAACCCACGCATGCACGGAGAGAACATACAAACTCCACCCAGAAAGGCCCCTGGACCAGGGTTTGAACCAGGGACCTGCTCGCTGAGAGGCAGCAGCTCTACCAGTTGCGCCACCGTGCTGCCAGACAAGAGACAAATACTTGAAATTTTGAGTGTTGGGATGTTATGTGTCTGCTTTTTACTGTCAAAATAATAAACACACAGTATAGCAGCAGCATACAGCTTTTCTCCTCATATAAAATACAAAGTATTTCTTGAGATTATTTATTCATTGTTGGCGTTGACTTTTTAAACATTGACAGATTTTAGCTACTTCTTCCTTTCAAAGATCCATCATAAAGTCCATTCTCAGCTCTACCTCATATTGTTGTCTCCCGTCACAGAGAGAAAAGGGAGAATCAGATATACCCTCCATTCATCCGTCCATGTTGTGAACATGAAAACTTGAAAAATATGTGACGTACTGACTTTATATCATTTTGGCAAATTGTTCTTGTTTATGTTTTAGAATTCTCTGCCAATCCTTGAAAAATGACCCATTTACTGTGCTAACTGAGATGTTTCTTCAAAAACAAAGAGATGATTGGTTCCTGTGTTGTGATCTAGACAAGGTTCCTCCGAGCCCAGAGTCATCTTATGGGTCCAGCGGTTTTGTTTTACGATGTACGTTTAGTGGAAAAGAGGGTTTTGGATCATTTTACCAGAAAGGCAGAATCCTGAATAGAAGATATCAGATGGGAGAACAAACAGGGGCAATGTGCAACTGGCAGCACTCGCTTTTAACAAATCTTGCAGAAACTGATTTTTTATCTCCTTTCTGAGCTGCTGGTGTCTGTCAGCAGTGGTGTTTTGTTTGTTTGTTTCCTTTCACTGTGTTTTTTTAGTAGGCTCAGCTATTTCTGTTTTTATCTTTGTCAGTCATAGTTCTTGAGTCAGATGAGAGGTAATATTTTTTCTTTGTTGAATCGTCATCCATTATGTTTTTGTCGTTAAATGTAAAATAAAATATTGAGATTCCCTTTCCTTTTTTTTCATTCAACCTTTATTTAGACAGATAAGTCACACTGAGTCTAGAAGACTCACTTACAAGTGAGATTTGTTTAGACAGACAAAAAGTAGTGAAACTGGACACATGTAGGAATTGGAGGTGAAAAAATTCCTATCAGACTTTTTCTTCCTGCCTGAGAAGAAAAACTCTGATATTCAAAAACACCTCGCACAAACAAGCACATAGTGACATAGACATTCTGCAGAGGGGGGAGACGACGAGAACGGTGAGCATGTCCATAGACGCTCTTGAGGGCACTGTAAGAGTTCTGATAAGGATGTGATAATCAGCCAGTGTCCTCTGGTGAGATCTGTAAACATTCTTGAGGTATGTCGGGGAATGGCCAAGAATAACGTCTATGAGAATCCAAGAGTCCTGAAATGCTGACAAAATGTTTACTCAGCTGTTTTCGTCTGGTTATCAGTTAGAAATTCCTCAGGTAGGGGGTGGTGAGCGTCAGATCACACGTTCTCCAGGTGAATTCAGATAAGATGGCCTTCAAGGTCATCCAAGGGAGCCAAATTCAGATAAACACACAGTTGATTTGGGGACAGGCAGAACGTAATGACATCTACCTTCAGTCTGTGTTGGTCGACTCGGTTCTAAAATGTCCAAATTACATGGCCACACCAATGGAACGTGACTGAGTAAAATCCCCGAGATCTGATCCATTCTGCACAAAGCATTTGAGTCTGGGTACTCGAGGCACTAACCAAGCTATCATAAAGGCAAGCAGCGTGATCGGGTCCAAATTTGCTGCAGACGACTTTCTTGATTGTTGATAAAACCAGCAACCAGCCGAATCCAAAAAGCAGGAACCAGTTATCATAAATCCAATTAAATATGCTTCCTTAAAATCCACAAATGGCAGCAGAGATAAGCCCCCAGTATACTGCCGCGTATGTCCGTTCACGCGTACGTACGCGTGTACCGTACGCAGAGGGTTCAGACTTCGTACTCCAGTGTACACCCTGAGCAGCTGCAGAGCAGCTTCACAGACAAGGGGTGTTTACCTTCGGGACAAATTGAGGTCGCCGATTGGTCATTTGCTGACACGCCTGCTGGATTGATTAACAGGTCGGAAAAAATTTAAAAAGTGAGCGCTGGCAGCCTCAGCCGCAGCGATGCTCTGTGTTTATATGTTGTTAATAAAAAGATCTAAAAAATAAATTAAAAAAACAGGGAGCGCTGGCTCTACAGCCCACACATCAGACCAGCCCACCAGGAAATCTCCAGACCCTCCTGCAGCCACGCTGGACCTGAGTTTAATTCGCTCGTGACAAATTCCTTCATTTCTCACCATTTCAGTCATGGCATCAACGGAGGAGGAAGAGATCACTTGCCTCTTGGCAAAAAACCAAAGGAAAAGGCCAGATCAGGATGAAGAAGGGGAATTTAATACATTGGTGTTGCATACAAAACAGTCCGTCGCTGGGCAGTTTATTGTGCGACACCGCGTACGCGTATGCGGTCGTAAAAATTTGCGCTTTGCACAGACATGCCCGGGGGGTACGCTCGTACCTCTGCGTACGTATGTGCGTACCTCTGCGTATGGACATACGCGGGAGTATACTGGGGGCTATAGACACATCATCAAGTCTTCTTCTTCTTTGCAACCACTTGTAGAAAACAGCTGCTGGTCTTTGTGAAATTTCAGATAAGCTCCCCCTGCTGTTGGTTGTATTGAATTTTCAAAGTTGATATGAGCATGCAATATTTCTAATCATTCCTAATTACAGTTATCTTGATTATTCTGTATATAATATTCTATTATTTAGACAGATATGGACAGCAGCAGCAGCCAAAGAATCAAAAACACAAACTTGATATTGAAAATAGTTCACTTTATTTCATTGTCTCGTAGCATCAAGTAGTTGTGTTACTAAGCAAATATATTGTAGAAGCATAAAAAAACAAACGCGTGTGACAAAGACAGGTAGAAAAACTAAAAAAAGACGTTAACATGAAAATGTAAAGAACAGAACATTCAGCAACAATATTAAAACCACTGACAAGTGAAGAACATCAATTATCTTATTTTATTGAAGTGTTTTGGTGGGAACTTAAAGCTCAAGAAGTATTTTACTTTGTTTGCAAACCTTTCTCTTCATTGTTGCAAACCAGTCATATCTGCATTAAATACTGAGTTTGATCTGTGACAAGTTTATTATTGATTAAAAAAAGCTACATTATTGTTATACATCAAGGCTTTGTCAGCAAATGTCCTGAAATGCTACATGTGTGTATTAATGAAAAATTATCTTATCAGTTTTTTTTTTTTACTGAATATGTTATTCCAGGTCATTCCTAATTATCAACATTGTATATGGAGGGGTTCTAAACTGACTTCTAGATTGAATTTATGAATACACACAAGAACAGGGAAGCTGTTTTACGTCAAAGTATTTGGCACGTGTTCGGCTCCAAACAATTAAATCTATGTAAAAATGATGTAAACCACTGTGCTTGTGAGCAGTAAGTCCAGGTTACGTTATGAAACATGTTAGTAAAATAAATTTACAGCCTAAGCCTTTTCTCTGAAGTGCTGCTAATGCCAATCACGTCTGAGTTGAACACCATTTATTCACATTTACTCAAAGACAAATTGTATATAGAGCAGAGAAGGCTACAGTCAGCTGAACTCCAGGCAGATCAGAGAGTGTATCCGAAGAACTTGTGCAGCCGCTGTACCTTATTCAGTCACAAATATCAAACTGATTCAGCTCAACAGCCTGATAGACGACGTGTGACTGTACCTGTGGCAGAAAACGAGAAAGCAAAAGTCACAGTACATCTCTGCCCGAATCTAATACTTGAACAGTTAGTTTTTAGTAAAAGTGGTCTTCACAGGTTGTGCTTTGTACTTAGGTAAATAATTCTTGAATTGTTTGGAATTTTATGTTAAAAATAATCAACTTTTTTTTTAAATCCTGTTAAAATACTTTGCCTTGATCACTTTTTAATTTAAAGTTCATTAAATTTGCACTTTTCCCATAAAATTGGTCAGCCTCACAGCCGAGTCAGCATTTTTTCCCCCCAACTTGAAAGTTTTCAAATCATAGACGTGAGTACAAACAAGACTGTTTTTGTCAATTATTAGTTATCTATTAATAGTTTAGTCCTTGTTATTTTAATTGCATCCTGACCTGACTAACATACTGTTAATGTTAACTATTTAAATATATTTTATATATATATATATTACAGTCAGCCAACAGGTTCAGCAGGTTGTCAGTTGTTTAATTTAATTTAATTTAATTTAAATTCAGGGTTTATGTTTGAACAAAAAGTTAAAAACCGAGGGTCCACTTATGATTTAGTATGTTTTTCCTAAATCTAAACTCAAGGGTTTTTTTTGTGTATCATTAACGGCCTGCTCTTTACTGCTGTGTTAGATCTGGTCAAATACAAACTAAGAATGATTGAAAGTCACAAACATACATCACAGGATCGTAGGTACGTGTACTGGCTGAGCTCGCTGTGGCTCTGTTCCTCTTGGCCAAGCTGGTGTCTGAGTGGGCATTAAAAAACACAGCACATAACTCAAGATAGTCTTGTTCCATCTTACTGGCCCTTTATTTGTATAACGAGAGCTGCAGCTGGACTTGTTATTAAGCCAGGGCAGAGGAGGATGGTATTCTCAACTCAAGGCTTCTTATCTATCCACAGAACACACCATGTCCCATGTTTTCTGAAGTTGACTCTTTCCTTATCGCTGGAACAACCAATTATCATCCCATCAGCCCCTAGCGAAGCAGTCACACATACCCTGGCACAGGCACTGGCAAAACCCGTAAACTAAGCAAACTGTCAGGCTTGATGGCACTAAACTAACACATACAATTCCTAGAGTCACTCTCTGGATCACTAGCAAATAGATTCCTAGAGGCAGCGAACCAAAATACAAGAAACCCAGCAGCCAGACCAAAATGCGTGGGACATGATTACAGAACTTGGGCAAGGCATCATGATCAGCAGGCCCATTAGATCCTATCGACATGGAGTCCAGGCTCTGCTCAGCATAGATGTCAGAGCTGCCATTACGGCTCGGAGATCGCTGTGGGTCCCTTTGAACCTCCATTATAGTGATGACTAGACAGTTGGAGGAGTCACACGACGGGCTGGTGGAGGAAAAACCCTTTGGAGTCAGGACCACCTCCCCGTTCTGGTCAGAGCTACCGGACTTGTCCTGCAATGCCAGGTGGGACATGATGTTAACGTCGTCGGGCAGGGCAGAGATGTGGTACTCTGTGATTTCAGTTTGGTGTCGGCAAAAGGGGCAGGGAATGCAGCCCGCTCTGTCAGCAATGTCCAGGATCTTGATGAGGCAGCGGGCGCAGACCCGATGTAGGCAATCCAGGATCTTAGGCTTCCGGTTGTGTGCATTGTAGCGCTGGTAACAGATTTTACACTCCAGTTCCTCTGGGGGAGCACAGTCTTTTTCTTCTAACGTGGTCTGAGGACAGCTCATCTTCTGGTCATGTTCTGAGGACATATATGTAGACAGATTGAAAAAGTAGAGTTAACGGGTTAATTAATGGCGTTTAAAGGAGTATTGCACATTTGTTCATCTTCCTGTGAATTCAGGCAGATGTTCGTGAACAGACTGAAACAAGAGGATGTTTCTGTTTGCAGCAGGAAAAGGTCAGAGCTCAGCCTTCTTCTCTGACAGCTCTGACTCGGTGTACCTGCTGGTGATGAATGATTTATGACTTGGGAATTAGATCAGGGTGTCATCCCTGTGCCCTTTGTGGCAAAGCAAAAGCCACTATTGATATTGATCTGTGGGAAAAGGTGGCAGGGAGAACAACTCAGTGTGGAGTCATTGCAGCTTTTAGATAAAATTATGAACTTACGAACTGAGGATTTTTACATTTTCTTCTTTCTTTTTGTTGATTTATTTTCCTCACAAATAAAACAAAGCCTTGTCCAGCATCTTGTGTGGTCTGAATTGTAAATCAGCTTCACTCATTGAAAGGCATTCCTGCCTTTTGGGGTTGACTAAATTAATGTTTTAGCTGGAAATAATCTGTGCATGCTGGTTTAAAGTCAAGTCTAATCTATTTCTAAGGCACATTTAAGACAGCAGCTGTTACCAAAGTGCTTAACAATAAGATCAAAGCAGTTAATTAAAGAAAGAGAATAATAACAAGTTGTAATTAAAAGCATCAAAATCAAAACATAAAAACAAAGAGAAACAATGGAATACTAAATTAAATCACACTGTGTTAAACGTCAGTGAATACAGGTGTGTTTTCAGGAGAGATGTAAAAACAGGAAGTGAAGTGGCCTGTCTAATGTTGGGGGGCAGATTGCTCCAGAGTTTAGGGCCCACGACTGATAAAGCCCCATCTCCTCTGAACTTCAGCCTGGTTTTTGGTACAACCAAATGCAGCTGGTCAGATGAGCTCAGTGCTCGAGAAGGAACATGTGGTTGAAGTTGGTCAGAGAGGTATGAGGGTGCAAGACCATTAATACACTTTAAGGTCAGCAGGACAATTTTCAATTCAATTGAGTTTCTTTATATAGTGCCAAGTCACAACAAAAGTCATCTCAGGGCACTGAACAGAAACATTCATATATAAAAATAACAAGTTCACAGAAACATTCAATTTTAAAATCAATTCTGACATGCTCAGAGAGCCAGTGAAGGGAGGACAGAACTGGTGAAATATGCTATGAGTTCCTGTTAATAGCTGAGCTGCAACATTTTGGATGAGCTGGAGACGTGAAAGGGAGACCTGACTGACTCCAACATCAAACACATTACAGTAGTTTAGCTGGGTTGTAACAAATGCATGAACTATTTTATTAAACACAAAATCAAATGGAAATCGTGAACTTGCACATTCAGAACAATCATTGATGGGTGTGACTTGCTACCAGTGATGGGCAGTTGTACTCAATGGCTTGTAGTTAGTTGTAATCTTTATTCCTAAGGAAGTTTGAAGGACTGCCTCACATAGATGTAAGTAAATCCACATGTGGGCACCACAAACTACAAATAGCCAGTGGAGACCACAGCTGTTGTAGCTCTTGCCTTAGGGTTGAGCTAGGTCTTTAAATCTTTGTTATTCTACAAATTTATTGACTTACTAGGAAATTTAGGTGTTTTGCATCAGATCATTAGGTGGTACAGCCATTGACTCTTGCCCAGACTCCTTGCATGACATATATCTGTTTTTTTATGCTAACACGTCATTAACTAAAGTCTGGAACTGGTCATACATTTAAAGTTCAAGCTGCTTTGCAGCTACTTTTTGTGATTTATAGTTGAAATATATACGGGGCTTGCTTTGCAGCTTTCTGCTGTGTGAGGAAAGAGCCACTAGAAAGTGTTGACATGCACATCTTGTTTTGTACAGTATAACCAGCTCCTCTTCTATTATTCAGTTGTTAAAAGATGGCATGGGACTTGTGTGCATTCTATAATGTATTCTCCTCTCCAAGGGTGCCAATCAGCAAGGTAAGCCCAGTCGTGGAAGCCAATTAAAAATGAATTAGTGAATGTTGAAAAGGTCTTATAAAACCTCAGAAGTGTGCTCTCATTAACCTCAGCTGAAGTGTTTGATTCCTCGTGTTGCTTTTACTTATACTTTACAAGTCCCCCTCCCATCACGGAGATAAAGAAAAGGCTGCCATCCATTCATTCGTGAATATAAAACAGACTAAATCAGTGGATGCTGCATGGGCAAACACCCAAACACCCAGGAGGCCTTCTTTGACTTGCTGAGTGCTAAATATTTCAGTAACAGGTCTTTTGCGTTAAAAATCCCACTGAAATATGTCAGAAAAAAGGAGTTTTGGATCAAACCCAACAGCGGGGGTAACGTTTTAAGGAGGAGACACAGCTCTGCAGCTTTAATGTGCAGACATGTATATGTACTTGTGCCATATGTTTCGTCAAACACTACACGGCTTTTATAAAAACAAATTGTTGTCTGGCAGTAAGATTAAGAGTTGTGCATTATATATCCTAAAACATTTTAGCTTCTCGCAGCTGATGTTTTAAAACGACATCATCAGTCTTTACATTTGCTTACTTTCTTTTTTAATCCATGTTTTTGTCTGCAAAATGTTCTTTTGTAGGACTTTATGACTGTAGCTGTCTGTTAGTGTGTATAATCACCATTTTATCAGAAATGTGTATTAAAGTTTTCAGCCATTGTGCCCATGCAACACACCTTTATTTATACATGTCAAACGTTGTGTTAACTGCAAAAAAATATCTGAATACGACCTGAAATTTTCATTTGCAGCTCACACCGGTGACATTTTTAATGTAAGCGCTGAAATGTTTGGAAGGAAGTGGTGGGGGTATATAAATAAAGGATAAGGGTGAATGTGCCCTTGTAAGACTTTAGCTCTGTGGAATGATGCCTTAAGTAAATTTATAAAAATAACTAGAGAAATTGAATTTCCTGCTAAAATTCAATGTGAATGCGTATTGCTACTTGCTAATAAACAGCTGGAATTAGCTAAAACATGTTGAAATGTAGTTGAAACAGCAGAAAAAGCCTACGTTAGCAGAAGAAAGCAGAAAGAACACATATTTGCTGAATTTGGTTTAAATAAGCAGAAATTAGCACAAAAATCAGGAAATTAGCTAAAAATGCTGAAATTAGCAGAGAAAGTAGCTGAAAAGGCAGAAAGAAGCTTAAACTACCAGAAGGAAGTGGAAGGAGCTGAAATGAGCTCAAACAATGTGGAATTAGCTGAAAACCCTAAATTTAGTACAAAACAGCTAAATAGTAGCTGGAATGGAAGAAAAAGCTGAAACTAGCAGAAAAAGCTGATAGGAGCATAAAAAGTTGTAATTAGCATAATTAGGTTGAAAGTAGCAGAAATTACAACAAAAACTTGAATTTATCTGAAAACAGCTGAAATTAGATAAAAGATGCTAAAAAGGTAGCTGAAAGACTAGAACAAGCTGAAATTAGCAGAAGAAAACAGAACATGTTTGCCCAATTAGGCTGAAAAAAGCAGAAATGAGCACAAAACACACTGTTTTTGTTAAGCACTTTCATCACCATCACCGTGGTTGTGTAAAGCGCTATAGAAATAAATAAATGAAATGAAAAAATGAAACAAAAAAGTGGAAATTATCTAAAATAAAGCTAAAAGTAGCAAAAAATAAATAAAAAGACAGTCAAATAGTAGCTGTAATAGCAGAAAAAACTGCTGAAATTATCTGGGAAAATGTTTAAATTTGCAGAAGGAAGCTGAAAGAAGCTGAACCAGAACGCAATGTGAAAGGAGCAGTAAAATGTTGTAAACAGATTTAAAGATCTGAAGGATGTAAAATGAGCTCAATTAATTTGCTATGAGAAAAAACAAAAAATGTCAGAAAAGGCCAAATATTTCTAAAAGCTAAAGTTGCACCAATACTAAAAGTCATAGCACCCTTCTCCTGTAAGAGCTGAACATTTTGATATATGATTTGTTGAAATAACACAAAAATTGTGGAACGAGAAAGATGCTGAAATATGTACAGAAGAAAAACGGATCACAATAGAGTGAATGCTTCATAAACATTCAGACAATAATCAGACTGTCCTGATGCATGCTCAATAATCCAGGTAGAAAAATCTAAAAAAGTTAAATCTGGTCCTCTGGACATTGAAAAAAAACAAAA